TTACCTACTGGAGGTGTCTGCAGTTTTTCAGAAAATAATGGACCAGACAGTAGAGATCCTTTCCCTGGAGTTTGTTATTTGGAGAATATGCTGATTACTGGACAAAGCAGTTGTGACAAAGCTCTGTCCTTGCCTCCGTGGGTCCCGCGTTTCCTGGCAGATTTCGCTAGCCTCAGAGGCTCACTGTGACCCTCCACATAACCCTTCTCTCTCTAGAAACAAGGGTCACAGCCTATTGAGCCATTTTCATCATAGGCCAGTGAGGGAGGTGAGGAGAAGCTATCCTTCCTTGCACAGTCTCTGGTGTCTCCCAGTCTCAGTGATTAATCAGGGAGCAAAGGGGAGGAGCCCGGGCCCACCCTCTACTCCTGGCTCCAGCCCAGGGACCCTAATAGTAGCAGCTATGGTAGCTGACCTTTTAGAAACATGACATGTACTTCCCCCACAGCAGCCCTCACTTCCTCAAGCTCCACTTCACCCTTACCTCAGGGCCTCCTTCTTTGTGCCTGATATGGTGTGTACTACTCAGTCTCTCCAACAGCACAACTTCCTCCCACAGCTCCTGACATGCACACTCACCTGACTAACTGGGAGGCTTTTAACTAGTTTCAGCCAGCCCCTGATTGGCTTCAGGTGTCCCAAGCAACCTAGCATTCTCCCTGCCTTCTGGAAAGTTCTTAATTGGTCCCAGGTGTCTTAACTGACCTGGAGCAGCTGCTATTTCACTTATCCTGGTACCAGGGATTTGTTTAGCCTGGCGCTAATATATCTATCTCCCACTACTTTTCTATAGCCATCTGGCCTTGTCCCGTCACACACTAGGAAACACTACATCTATTTGCAAGGAGTATTACAGCAGCTCTGATGGGCAGGCTTGCATCTCCATCCAGGGCAATGTGCTGTTTGGGGGGCAGATTTTACTTAGGGCATAGGGTAATGAGAAAAAAAGTGGCAGTGAGTGTAGCTCCCATCTTCACAAGTATGATGGAATTGTGGCATTTTCTCATCTGCTAGTTTACTATGGCAAATTTTTATGCTGTACCTATGTTCCAAGATGTATGCTGTAATGGAGGATAGAGCTCCATGACACTGTTTCCCTGAGTGCCTCCAAGTATTTAAGCTGACAATGGGAAAATTGCTAACTGCCCGTTTTTTGATGCATTTGTCATCAAATCTTGGCTTTCTCCCTAATTTTGGCCTGCTATGTTTCACCAGTGGGAGTTGGTCAGTGATTTTTTCCCCATTGGGATGGGGCAGTAATTTCACACCAGTTCCCCCAAAACAGTGGAAAAAATCCTTGTTCCTGTTGCCTCCCACACATTACGTTAAATACACAAATGTTGGGCTATTTCAGTTTGCATAATTTTGAAATAATAATCTGTCAGATTGGGGTTAGCTACATTTTATTACTAGACCTCAAACCAGACCACAAACCTTTTGGGATTTACCTTAATTTAGCTTTTATACCTGTACAACCATATGATAAATCATTGTGATTTTTCTTTTAAAAGTCACATAAATCCAGGGTAATAGATATTGACGGGATTGGCATTTCCACATGAACTTGAGAGTCAAGGCATCCTGATGAAAATGTATCCTCTCCATGGAATATGGAAGAATTACTAGTGCCCTGTTGAAAAGGATTAGAGAAACTGCCTGCATTAAATGTTAATTTGTCATTCTTGAACCATGGCCTGGCTAACATATTGTAGGTATTCAACACTTGCCATACTTTAGCATGCTACATGCCCATAATTATTGTTGTCTGCTTACTTGAATCATTGCAAGTTGTCTGAAGTAAGTATCTTACAAAAAAAAAGAAGCCCTAATAAAAGAGCTAATTGAAAGAAGAGAAAATCAAAAACTATGTCTGTTGTACAGTTGGACAGATGGCAGAGGAAAGTTGTACCTTGAAGATTTTTAAACGTGTTGTTATGGCATTGACTTTCTTGGAAACAAAGCCAAAATGCAAGAAACCTTTAAAGAAAAAAACATTGAAAATGAGTAAAAGGAGGAATGCAGGTTCGAGCAAAAAACAAACACTTACTGGTTGTTTATCTTGTGACACCTTCTCAGCGGAGGACTTTCATACGTCTGTGCTTGTATTTGTTGGATTTATGACTAGAACTGATATTCCCATTTAAAAGGATTCATTTTAAAATTACCTTTAATGCCAATATATAAAGTAGGAACCAATGCATTATTCCCAATGCAGAAATGTTTTCCTTCTCAGCTTGGACCTGAGTAATTTGTGTTCAAAGCAGTTCATGAGATTTAGGTCTAAAAAACATAAGATAAAAGATCAGATTTGTGCAGTCAGAAAGTACTTGCTATCTTTATTCATGTTTTGGGTACAACCAGAACTATTTTATTTATGAGAAGCACTAAAATTTTGAGCAGAGTGATCTACCCAACCATTAGACAGGCTTTTCTTTTGGTACTGAGTGACAAGCACGTTGACTTAGATCAGGGATGGGCAAACTATGGCCCGGGGGCCGCGTCCAGCCCTTCAGACGTTTTAATCCGACCCTTGAGCTCCTGTTGTGGAGCAGGGTCCAGGGCTTTCCCCGCTCTGGTGCTCCAGCTGGGAAGTGGCGTCAGAGGCTTGCCCCGCTCCGTGCGGCTCCTGGAAGCAGTAGCATGTCCCACCTCCAGCTCCTACACATAGGGGCACCCAGGGGTCTCTGCATGCTGCCCCACCCCAAGCGCTGCCTCCAGAGCTTCCATTGTCCAGGAACCGTGGCCAACGGGAGCTGCAGGGGTGGCACCTGCAGACGGGGCAGCGCACAGAGCTGCCTGGTCACGCCTCCGCATAGGAGCCGATGGAGGGACATGCCCCTGCTTCCGGGAGCTGCTTGAGGTAAGCGCCACCTGGAGCCTGCACCCCTAGCCCTCTCCTATGCCCCAACCCCCTGCCCCAGCCCTGATCCCCCTCCCACCCTTCTGCACCCCAACCCCTCATCCCCACCCAGAGCCCACGTCCCAACCTCCTGCTCCAGCCCTGAGCCTCTTCCCACACCCTGAACTCCTCATTTTTGGCCCTACCCCAGAGCCCGCACCTCCAGGCGGAATCCTCACCGTCTCCCACACCCCAACCCTCAATTTCATGAGCATTCATGGCCCACCATACAATTTCCATACCCGGATGTGGCCCTCAGGTCAAAAAGTTTGCCCACCCCTGACTTAGATTGATGTCTGACAGTGCTTCCTGCGTGTTTTAGTGGCATTCACATCATTTGCATTCCTCTCAGGAAATATGCCCATGCAGTATTTGATGATTTAAATGGTATAACTGGTTTTAAAAAAAAAGTTCAGCCGTGGTGCACTTCACCAACACAATGCGAAAGAATCTATAGAACCATGACAAGGCATTGTCCCCAAAATGCATCTATATGGGATGGTGAAAACTGAAATGAGTTACTGCCCTGAAGAGAAAGTTCTTTTGAGTTCTACTTAATTCCTGCAAAAAGGACAATTTTTCTCTGTGATGCAGTAACACTTTAGGGGCCCAGCTGAAAGTCTGTCAGTGTTATTCTAGTTTGATTGACTTATCAATATTTGACAAGCTATGTAATTCAATTATGACTAAGGCTCTGTGTTTGTCACTGTTTCCGTGACTTCTGCAGCAGCTGGTGCAACTGCCCCGGGAGCCACCTGACAACTTAGGCAGCCCCTGGGCCAGTTGCACCAGCTGCTGCTGAGGCAGTCTCGCCCCACCGCCCAGTAGCAGGAGTTTGCGGGAGGGAGCTGGGGGTTGGGGTGCTGGACCCCCCCCATCCCCAGTTTTAGTCAGAGGTACATAGTAAAAGTCATGGACAGGTCAGGGGCCATGAATTTTTGTTTACTGCCCATGACCTGTCCATGACTTTTATTAAAAATAGCTGTGACTAAAACGTAGCCTTAATTATGACTGTAGGGGGCCAATACTGTGCAGAGTTAAACAATGTTTAAGTGCGTGACTAGGGGAAACAGCCTTTCATAAAAAATTCCCAGGATAACTCAACCGATACAGAAAGCAAATACTCCATCCCACCATAGGTTGGCACACTGAAGGCCTGATCCTGCAGTTCTAACGCAAGCTAAACATCCAGTTAAGTCAATAGGAGCTTTGCCCAAGTAAGGATTACAAACAGAGGCGTCCCTTGGGTACGGCAAATCGGGGTGACCGCTCCAGGCCCAGTGCTTTGGGGGGCTCCGCGCTTCGATAACATTGTGAGGAGGCAGGTGGGAAGGTGAGGCGGGTGAGCGGGCTGAGGAGGCGAACGGGGAGGCAAGTGGCAGGTTGGTGGGGGGGGAGCCCCCCCTACCAGAACCTCCCCCTCCCCCAGCGCCTCCTACCCGCCGGCAGCCCCGCTGATCAGCACCTTCCACTCCCTCCCAGTGCCTACTGTCTGCTGTGGATCACATGTTTTGTGGCATTGGGAGGTGCTGGTTGTGAAGGGAGCTTTGGGGAGAGGGCAGAACTGGGCGGGGAAGAGGCAGGGATGGGAAGAGGCAGGATGGGGGTGGGGCCTTGGGAGAAGGGGTGGAGTGGGGGTGGGGCCTTGGCAGAGCCAGGGGGAGCATACCCCAGCAGATTAGGGTACGCCTATGTTCCTGGGCCTGCCATACCCAACCCCTTGGGTTGGCCCAGATTACAAGACTTAACCCTGGGTGGATTTCCCAGGAATTTTCTGCACAAGCAAGCAGTTTTCCATAGCTTTTTCTTGACCTTGCATGTAAACACAGATTGGACAAAAGTGTGCGAGAGAGAGCTGTAATTAGGGATGGAGCAAAAGCAGGAAAAAGGAAACTTAGAGAGCTGTGGGATTCATTGAACCTGCTTTGAGAATTCTATGTTCCAAGGTCAGTAATTTGCTGCTGCTAGAGCAGAGAAATGTCAGCAGGAGTGTGTGCAGAGGAAGTAATTCTAACTGTAAAATTGAGTTGAGATGTGCTGGGCAGAAATGTTTGACTTTTTCATGCTGATTTTAAATATCTGTTTGTTTATCTTTTTGAAGCACCTGACATTTCCAAGGGAATTTGATTCTGATTCTCTCAGACATTATAGCTGGGCTGCAGACACCTTGGACAATGTTAACCTTGTCTCAAGTCCCATCCATTCTGGGTAGGTCATTTAACAGATTTCCTTTGTCATTAAGTGTGAAACTGTACTGTTATGTCGACATTATAACCTACTGAAATTGCTGGTAATAGTTCCAGTCCTCCTCCAGTTAAAGCCAATGGCAAAACTCTCATTGACTTCAATGAGAACAGGGTCAGGGCAAAAATAAATCGAGAATTACATAGAAAGAAAAACTTGTATTTCAGCCTTCCACAAGGTTTCATCTGAGATGTGGGCATGAATTTGTGAGACGGGCAGGGATTTAATCAAAGGTCTCTCAATAGTGTTAATAGGAGTTGTGAGCTCAAGTCCTGCATCTCATCATGAAAATTTTCCTCCATGCTTAATTTCTTAGGTGCAAGGAAAAGCTGAAATCCCACAGAGAACTTCCTGTAATAAACTTGTTTTGCTTTTTCTGTTGCTTACGCTTTGCTTTTATATGTCTTAGGATGATTTTAGTTATGTTGTATTACATTATTCTAAATATGAAATTAGAGAAACGATGTTATGCTGCACTTGCTGTTCACTTTTCCATAAAAAAATGAGAGCTCGTAATTTAATCTTTTGTTTTATTTGCACCAAACCTTCCCTTTTCCCACCCCCTACAAAAAATTCTTTTGATGTTAATTACACGATTCACTTACCAATAAAGCATCACTATTAGTACAGTGTTACTTAATGGTACCACAAGTAATTGAGATATGGGTGATATTTGAAATGCATATTGTAGAATTTTCCAGTTAAAAAGTATAAATAACCAAAGGGAATTCTGTATCACACATAAGATTACCTAATAACAATATTTGTAGTAAAATTTTCAACAAGAACAGGAGACAAAATCCTGTATTCCTTTTCACTGATTTCTGCCCGCTCCCTCCTCACACACATACATTTTTGACTAGCTTCACTTATAATGTAAAGGGTGCATTTAAACCAACAAGCTCCAAGAGATTCAGAGTTAAGGATAAGGTCCCAGTTCAGCCAAGCACTTAAGCATGTACCTAAGCAGAGTACAAATATAAAAGATGAGGACTAACAGGTAGAATTATAGGTCCCAATCCAGCAAAGTACCTGAGCATGTGCTTAACATTGAAGTCAGAGCTTCAAGGAGATTCAGATCTAAGACTAAAAATTTACCCATTAGTATTGTTATTTTAGCTGAAATTGCCCTCCTGCAGAGGCCCTAACAGTCATGGACAATTTTGCATGGGCTTGACCCTGCATTCTTTGCATATCTAAAATTCCCAGCCATGTCTTAGAGTGTCCCTCTACATCTCTATCTGCAGAGTACTTGCCAACTTTGTGCTCCCAGATTAGGGAGAGCAAGGCACAATCATCTCCCGCTTGGCTATCCCTTTCCCCCACATACACAAACTCAGAAGAAATGATCTAAAATTTGTCCCATGTTCTTAGTTCACCAAAAAGAAAGGGGGGGGGGGGAGATTTTGGTGTGCAAGGAATGGAAGATCTAGCTCCAAATCACTGAACATTTGCAAAGGAGGGAATTATGGCATTAATTTAGAATCTTCTGGTTTTTCTCATTTTAAGCCAAGGGTTTTTTTTTCATGTTGTTCTTTGAGTTTAGATAAGTCTTTCTACCAGTGTGTGCTTTGCATCTTTCCCTTAATAATCATTACACTGCTCAGAAATCTGCCAAGAAACCTGCAGCCTATAGATGGGTAAAGCACAAATTTGGTGGAGTAAACAACATATGATTTTATGACTTAAATTTTTCAGGTGTAACCCTGTATACCCACTTCTCCCCAAGTCTGCATGTTGCATCTTTTGAACCCTTGGTTTCCTTGGCTCAGTGAAAGAATTAGTACACCAACATTGACATTATTATAATAAGAAACACAGAAGACCTGGATCCTAGGCTGTAAATGTACCATACGTTAGATTAAGCACAGTGCATTCCCGTATCTATAAACTTTTAAAAATTCAATTTGAAGAGAAATTTAATGAATGGCTTACAGGAGTTACATCTTTTTCAAATGCTTAGCTATATATATCTTCATATACTGTACTTTGGAAAACAACTGCTGTATGCAAGCACAATAGTTGATTTTCCAAGATACACAGTGAAGCATGCTTGTGGGTATAACACAAATTGAAAGAACCCATGTCGCAATAAATTCTGTGTTGATCTGTGGTAGGCACAAAAGCATATGGCGTCTTTTCAGTTCTCCAAGCACTCATGCAACTCCCAGGAATGCTAATAGAAGTTATAGGCCAATACTGAGAGGAGACATGACCCTTAAATTAATGGGAAATATTTTTTTCAGTGTACAGCGTATTGTGTATTACAAAACATGATATATATAAAATGGAAGCCAAATCATTTTTAAAGTTGGCCCTCAAATGCATTGCTTTCATTATTTTTCTGATGGTTACTTTTCTTTGGCTAATTATTGACATTTTCTGTTGCTTGCTTCTAATTATCTTAAATTAATTTTTCCCATTTGCTTTCTAAATTATTTTGCAGCTATTCCTCTCCACTTCCCCAGTATGATTCAAGGTGATAACTATGTCCTTTCTGTGAATCCTCATTTTGTTTTATTTATGTCAACTCTCTGTCCACAGTCAAAGTGTGCGTAGATGTTTGTAGTGCATCCTCTTATATCCTCTGTCTTTTGTTTATTTTAAAGTAGAAATGTTCACTCTTTAGCTTTTAGCTTTGTATTTTAGAGATCATAATTTAGTTGACCTTATAAGACAGGCCTTAAATTAGGTAAACATCAGTTACTAATCCTTTCAATAGAAACAGTGCATGAAGCTTTATTTGAAAATATTATTCACAAGAATTACGTTTTTAAAAGGGAAAATCACCACTTTGAAAACTGAATGAATAAAATGTTATTGTCAATAAATACATTTTCCATATAGCCGGCAATGTGAAAATATTGGTCTGTTAAGGCTTAGTACTGTATTTGGTAACTGCTTGTAGCGTGTGCTCTTTTTGATCCTGCTTGGGTTTGCCACTAATGCACTGTTCAAGTGTAGCATATCAATCAGGTGAATAACATTGCCTTAATCTTTCCTTTCGTATGGGATTGTTTGATTATATGAATATCTTTTGTTATATTAATTAAGAATTGGATTAAAATATACAAGTATCTGCATACATGATGGACAGTTTTCCTATCTGTGGTGCAACACACTAGTGTAGGAATAACCTGTATGAGATGTAAAGCAACCATGCCAGGGACCACCCTTGCCAAAACTCAGAGGCAAATTCCCTTGGAACTCCAGCCCTGTAGCAGTATGCCCTTCAGCAACTCCCTCAGCGCCGTATTCACAAACAGTACCTCTCTCAGGTTATGGGTGAACAGCGACAACAGTTCTGTTCCACTTGGCTGCCTCTTCTCTCTGTGTACACATATTTAATCTGAATTAGCCTCATACTTTTAGGTGGAAAAAATCAGGGAAACCTGAAAAGGCAAACAAAGCAAAACCGTAAAAGAGGCCACTTAATATTTCCCTCTCTGTGACCAAGGTCTGTGTGCCCTTGCTTAATATTTTACTTTGTTTTGTAAATTTTAATGGCAATACTCCCTGAAACCTTTTCACAGATTGTCAGCAGCTGGCTTACTGCCCATTAGATTTGAAGATCATGCCATAGACATTTCCCTGAGTGTGCTCTGTGGAATCCTACTGATATCAGTGTTGGCCATCTACCAGATAGAGCAATCTTAGGAAGCAAGAGCAACATAAACATGTAGGGCAGGAAATGGGATATTTAAGATAAATCACAGTTGGAAAACATAAGTGCTCTATGGAAGGTGATAAGCAAAGCTTCTAGCATCTTCAGAGCTTGTTGGTTAGAGCCTTATGTTAGCATACATAGTATTCTACTATTGACTTCAACCTCACAAAGTCAAATAAGTTTAAAGCCAATAGATGAAGAATTAACTCACTGACCCAAAGGTCTAATTTCATTGTAATTTTTCATTAGTTAGTTGATACTGTCAAAAACAGTAGGTAAAGAAAAAAAAGATAAAATAGTATTGTAGAGAGAAAATATAGGATCTAAAAATAAAACATGTTTGTTATAACTATATATTGGAATCACAAATAGGAACTGATTAATAGGTGGATCCATTGAAATGTACTTTAGTGCATTTAAGTATGCAGATTTTGATATAAAGAGAGTTTTTCACCCAAATCATTATAAAGGTGGAAAATGAATTTAAGTTGTCAGTATTAAGGATTATCATCAGATGTTTTATTATCAGATATTTTAAACTTCTGAAGTACTTTTATTGACATACAGATCTAAAACTTATAGAAAATGTTTGATTAGCTATTTTATGAGGACTTTTCACTCTCAGATGTATTTATCTCCCATTCCATGTAAACAAAAGTTGACTGCTTTTACAGTATGTAGGGATGAGCCCACTTGCAAAGTTCTGATCCAGACCTCAAGTCCCACAGAGTTATGGGGTTCTGATCTGATATGGAGGGTTGAGTCTATATCTACTTATATGAAGAGCATGTAAAATAAGGTGAATCAGTATTCCACACTTTGCTACTGTATTAAAAGCCTCAAACCTCATGAAACAGTAAGTAAAATGGTAGTGTGAACCTATGGAAAGTTCATCACCTTCCCATCCTATGTAATCCTTTTTTCTTCAGCTTGAAAAAAAACCAAGGTAATTGATTTACCTATAACACAACATGACCATTTTGTTTTTCTACTCCACATATTTGCTGTTTCCTTGCCTGTCAATTTATGTCCTATAAATCAAGAAATACAAGGGCCTGTTTGTTCACCAATTTTGTGCAGACTTCTCCCACTGAAATCACTAAGAATTCTGAGTATGGAGAATTTTCAGGATTGGGCTGTACAGTTTAGCTCTTACTTTTGATATTTTGTCTGTAATCAAAAGGAAATATCAGTATCATACAGAAGCTATCATCTGTAGTTCCCAGTGCTCTGTGTGACCTTTCCCAGTGAACAACAGTCTCCATGGCTTCAAGAGGCTCTTGCCCTTCTATGGATTAAATTTATAGCTCTTGTTCTCACTAGAAGAAAGCTAAATTGCCAGAACTACAAAGCTGAATGGATTCATCTGTTAATTATTTTAAGGTTTAATCCTTAAGTGCAGGAAGTATTAGCCACAGCATGGAGAAAGCTGGAATCATGGAATTAAATTAACAGCTACTTCAGGGTTTGTACATCACACATAAGGAAACAAACAAAACGTTATTTGTATGGAGAGTTAATTTATAAACCATGCACCAGACATGTAGATCCGCTACTGCAAGTTCTGTTTAAAGATAGCGTGGTAATCAAGAAATTGCATTGCATTATATTTGGAGGGGTGGGATGGTATTGCAGAGCCACTGAAGGGATTTGGGCTCCCAGTTTCTGTGAATTTCTAATTGAACTTAGATAGCCAATAATAATTATTAAATATAAAATATGCAGATATAGGGTGCTTTATAAATAAAATAATAGTTGGAGTCCTGAACAACAATAACAAAAACAAAATCGCTTAGCTGACTTTGAAAAACCTATTCACGGAACTAAGTAGGAGGTCAGGGTCTGCTGTCTGCTCTGGGACTAGCATCTACTTCTTGTGTTTTTGTCATTTGTGTCAAGAGCATTTAGAGATTTAGGATTAATAAATTTAATATCTTATAAAATGAAATAAATAATACATTTAGAGTTTGTGTTTAATGTTAAAATAAATTATATTTTAATATCTCCCATTTTTAGAAAGTTTTAAAGTTTTTTTACATTGCAGTTTCTGATATACAGAACTGATTTCCTTTTAATTATTTACAAAGCTACAGAAACCTGGAAAAAACACACGAGAGACAAGGCTTTAGAGAGACAAAACACAATATTCCCTGTAGTCTAACCTGTTTACAACAGACATCCATGTCAATATGAAGAGTGGTGGAATAATTGATTTTAGAGTGGTAGAAATGTACAGAAAATTGTATGCTTGATGTTCTGATTCATACATATTCACCAGAACCATTTAATAACCTTGTTCATCACACCCACAGGGTCAGTGTTCAGATGGCAAAGTAGGAAAGTGTGCTTTCAAATGGGTTTATCCAAAGGCTTTTGAAAGACTGAGATCCAAATATAAAAACATGGATTTCTGTTGTCCTTAGCCTGTACTGATTGGTTGTCTTGTGCATGTGGGACATTGCTATTTTGAATTATAGAGTGTCGCAGAACATTTAGTAATAAAGAACCATTTTAATGAACTAATAATACACTAATAATTTACGTAACTGTATACATACTCTCTTTAACCCTGGGTTTTTTCCCCCTAAATATTCAGTAGTACTTGAATCTTCCCATCATTATGCTACTAGACCATTAGAAATGTGTGAGTTTGTTGATTATTGTTTAAATTTATAATTAAATTTAAAGAATCCTGCTAACAGTTATGGCATAGGGGGCATTTGTTTCTTAACTATCATGTTAGCTGATGCTTTCATCATAATATTTTATTTTATTAGACTCTTCCTGATTTACATGAAGTTTTCCTTGTTTGATTTCTGACCATTTTAATGACATGTTCTCCCTTTCTCTACAGTTTTCTGGTTAGTTTTATGGTTGATGCACGTGGGGGCTCAATGCGGGGTAGTCGCCATCATGGAATGAGAATTATTATTCCACCACGCAAATGTACAGCACCCACCCGCATCACCTGCCGTTTGGTAAAGAGGCATAAACTGGCCAGCCCACCACCAATGGTTGAAGGAGAAGGATTAGCCAGTAGACTGGTAGAAATGGGGCCTGCAGGTGCACAGTTTTTAGGGTGAGTTGTTCTATGAATCTCACTGTTAACATTCATATTGCATCTTTCATTTCCTTCATCTTGTGGATGTAAGTAGTTAAATATTGAAACTACTTAATTTGAACAGTTACGGTAGGCCTCTGTACAGTAAACAGACTCAATTCTGACATTCTTACCCAGGAAAAAAATCTCTGATTTAACGGGAGTTTTGCCTGTTTAAAAACTACAGGTTGTGCCAAAAGTAAATAAAGCTATGAAAAAGCCAAATTCTGCACTCAACCATTCATGCCTAACTCCCTCTGAAGTCAGTCAGAGTCACGTATATGTATCCAAGGACAGAATTTAGCTCTCGTTCTGTGTGATGAGTAGAATACCAGGTAAATATGACTTTCATAAGGGAAGTTTCACCATAATTATGTACCATTTTCCAAATGTAGAGCAGTATTCTCTACTTAGCGTGTGTGCATATCACCCTCCAACATTAATGGGAGATGCACACCTACCTCCAGTGGGGAAAGGACCACTGTGCATGATTCCAGATAACTTAATATAGAGCATCATTTAGTGCAAATGCTAGTAACTGACATTTTTCAAAGCTAAAATTAGGAGAAACAATCCACTATGATGTGGTTTTTTTTTTAATTATCAATTTTGTTCATTACCATAAGTGGCGCCCTGGTGAAAACTGCCGGTTCTGTCGGGAATGACAGTTTGTTCCTAATTTCCCCTTCTTGTTTCTCTTCCTGCTGCATGGATGTTATTCAGTAAACTACATCTTCCTACCAATCCTCCCCCTCTAAATGAGGGTGAGAGCATGGTTAGCCGAATCCTGCAGCTTGGGCCTCAAGGAACAAAATTTATTGGGTAGGATGCTTATAGAAAAAATACAGAATGTCTACAGTTTTTTTCCTTTCTTTTGTTTTGTTTTTGTTTCCAATTTTTTGTCATTCCCATAATTTTTTTTCTACTTTCTAAAGCTTTCAGTTGATTTATGTCACTGAAAGAAAATCATAGTGGCTTGATTTATTATAGCTCTGCTACTGTAACTATCTTGTGCTTTAGGCATGTGAAATTCACTGCAAGCATTCTGCTTTCATAACTTGTTGTGCTTTTGTAATTTTTTTAAATTTGAACTGTTTCAACTGCATCAAATACATTTTAATACACGATGACAGCCCTTTAATTTCAACTTTGTGGTAGAGAAGGTATTAACAGGGTTTGAGTCAGTCTGTTTCAGGAGTAACTCTCTCAGATGTGGATGCATATGTTGTACCTATTTTTAAAATATGAGCATGTTCAGAAAAAATATAATTGAATAAATGATTTCATTTAACAAGGCTGGAGAAATGATAACCTTTTAAAACAGAAGTAGGCATCAGGTTGAAAAAAATAAATATGAATTTTGGTACATTTTGGGGAAACAAGTACAATAGCCAAACAAGTTGCAATGTTTATTTTATAATGTTTATTATAAAAAAAGTTAGAAAATATCCTCATTGTTTGCAGTAGAACGTTATTGTGAAATTTATTTCATTATGTTTTTAAAATATTGCATAGAATCTATTGCTTAGAATACCTGTTTAATACCTTCTCACTGACTATTCTTGTTAAACTTCATGCACAAAATTGTGTGGTTCCTAAATATTTACAGAGACAGTATCTGATATATTAACCTGCAAAGATTGTATTAAAAAGTTCGTTAGTTCTTTTTAACTTGAGAAGCCCGTGTATACATTATCTTAGGAAAACAAATACCTTAAGAAACAACGTAATTGAATTTTTGGCATTCATCTACTGTAGATGGTGGGATAAACCTGCATTTCTATCAGCTATCAAAGGAGTAAGATCAGAATAACAGACTTTGGGTATTTTTAAAAGCATCTAAGAACATTAAAAGCATTAATGTTCTTAAATAATCTGCCTTTTTTCCTATTTTTATTAAAATTGCTATTGACTAATTCCTACTCCTTTTGTATTTAATACAGAGAGATGGACTTAAAACTATTTTGTATCTTTATTAATATCAGCTGTATCTATGGTTTTAGAGTAGCAGCTGTGTTAGTCTATATCCGCAAAATGCTGTATCTGTGATTTCCATAGTTAGATTATTAATTGATTTGTTAATGTTTGCACAGCACTTTGAAGATATAAAGTGCTATCTAAGTGCCAAGTATTATTTTTCTCCATCTTCTAATGTTACTTTTAATGGAGTTACTATGAGAAGGTGAGGTTCTTTACAATCTCTGTAGGAAACCAATGATACTGTCTATTTAAATGTCTTAAAGCTGCATAATCCATAGTGGTTCATCTATTGTATGATTGCAGTCAGTTTATTTTAACATATTTAAAATGCTTATCTTGTCTGTAAAATGTTTAGCTAAAATGTCTATTTTGTTAAGGAATGGCACATGAAATGAATAGCAGTTTCTGTTGATTATTCACAGTAATAATTTAATTACACACTTGAAGTCCTACGTGTAAGGCACGCTGTCAGGTAATTTAGGTGTAGTATTTAAAAAAGTTGTTTCACGGTAGCTAATATCAATATATATTTCATTTTTATTTAACCCAAAGAGAGCCATTTTGAAAGAATTTAAGCAGTCTCCTGTAGTGCTTGCAGCACCGACATTGCAACTCTAATGCATGAGAACCAGAAAGTGGAACAGAGTAGAAACAACCCATCTAATATCACTAATCTGAGTGAATGAAGAGCCCTAAGTAATTGGTGAAAACCAAACTGGATTTTTAAAATTTTCAGATTTTAGTACTTACAGGACTATGAAGTTGTTTTGTCATTTGTTTGTTTTAATGCCCATATACACACACAACTTCCATCTCAGTCAACAGCAGGTATATGTGTATACCAGGACAGCAGAATTGTGTTTGAGACGGACTGTGTCCCTTTAAACACTCTGTCAAATATGCCCACCCATCTCCCACTAAAGTCCATGGAGTTGTGTGTGCATATCTGAGGACCAGGTTATGCCACGTATATGTCAGGATAAATAAACACAGAAAATCGTTTTTACCTTAGTTTCTGTCCATTTTTGTCATATAAACAATTGTTTTGAAACACTTCCTTATGTTCATAATAATATGGGATCTGATTCATAAGCTACATATTAATAATATTTTACAGTTTTGTAGCAAAGGATTCTGCAGCTTTGGCAGCTTTTAAATCATTTTTAACATAACAATACTTATTATTGTCAAATGAACATAGTTTTAGTAAGGATTTAATATGTAGAGGAAAGTCAAGATCAATGGGGAAAATATATGTGATAAAAAGTAATATGGATTCCTTTTTTGTCTAGCCCTGTCATAGTGGAAATCCCACATTTTGGATCAATGCGAGGAAAAGAAAGAGAACTGATTGTCCTTCGCAGTGAAAATGGTGAAACATGGAAGGAACACCAGTATGACAGCAAACATGAAGACTTAAATGAAATTCTCAATGGCATGGATGAAGGTAAACTTATTTAATCAAAGCTTTAACTGGGTTAATGTCAACAGGCAGAAAGCATGGCTAATATAAAAATGTAATCTCTGCTATTTGACTTCTGGAGAACACATGGTATTACAAAAATAAAATAATGAAATGAGCATAGGGAGGAATTCTGTAGCATTGGCCTTAACTCAGTCCCATCCCCCCCCTCCAGCAAGCCAGCCCCCGGTTCCTCACAATGATGCAGAACACTAAGCTTTTCTCTGAAGTCACTCCGGGTTTACATGCTTCCTTGTGACTTTAAAAATAAAATAACATATTTACCTAAAACACAACACTTCAGAAGAACATAGTGACTGCGCTGAGGAATAGTCCCATTATTAGGAAGAGTCAAATAAAGACAATCCAGGGCGTAGGCTCACCCCAAATAGGGCCTGTATCTGGCACTGCCTCTGGCTGTGGCCCTACTCTTGTGCCCATGGCCTCAACTTTACTTGGTACGGCGCTGGCAGGATGCACCCACGCAGACTCTCTTCTGAGCATCACCACACCTCCTTAGGAAGACTGGGCGTCCTGCTCTGTCAAGACATTGCTCACTCTCTATCTATAGATAAGAGGCGGGTTGTGGTCATTCCTGAGAAAGAGAAGACTCAGCCTGCACCTCATTCAGCAGAGGACTCTGTTTGAAGGACCCCCTGCTAACACAACTCCAGCAGAGCCATGATGGGGTGGTGGCAATGAGGACCCACCCACCCAGAGTCTCCAGCTGGCATAGTAGTGGAGGTGGGGCTCTCGAGAAGCTGGTAGCAGAATTAACCCATTGAAAGGAAAGAGGTAGTTCACACCCCCCAGAACACTTGTTTCAAATGTCTGCAGCCTCAAGCAAACATCACCCATCACCTGTGTCAGGTGCTCCTCACAACCACAAGGACTAGAAGCACACCTTTTTAAAAACGAAAGCTCAGATATTTAAGTCGTCATGTGACACCAAGAGCAGGGCTCTGGGTATTTCCCTGTTATGTCTCTGCCTTAATCCAGCCATGTATCTATGCAATGTCCTTTCAGTATATGCAGGTATTTACACAGCTGGAACCCACAAGGCCTGAAACCTCAAAATCCATTAGGTTTTACACTTAGTAACCCATTTCCTCCTGACCATGGCATTGGGTTACCTGAGGTTGGTCTGTGGGCTGGACTTCCTGGTTTCTGCAGGAAGATATCTCCCCCTGCTTTCAGGGCTTGAATACTTTCAAGGAACTATTCACAACTAATCTACAGATGAAGAATTATTCGCTGGAAATCTTCAGCAAATAAATTCTGAAAAGTTAGTGAAAATCTTAAACTGAAGGACATAATTTTAACAGAAAAATACTGTATTTAGTGATTAAATTATTTACTACAAATTATTCACCCAGATCTACGTAAAAATGAAATGTCTGTAGTTCAGTATGTCATCACATACTGCTGTACTTTGTTTTTGATTATTTCCCCTTAAATCATTTCCAAATGCATGTTGTGTTAGGAAAAGAACACTAAGTATTATTATTAAGACTAAGTGTTACTAAGACTAAGTACTCAGACAAACCACCCTCATAACACTATATTCTGTGTGACACTAAATATATCCGTAAGACTTCAGTGATATATCCGCATGTCCACGATTCTCTTCAGATTATGCTGAAACTGTTGCTAAAGGTTTTCCACTGAGTTCTTAAAGAGTAGCTATAAAATCCCTTGACTAGGTTATTGTTTTCTTAAAAGCATCTAAAATAAATACATTAAAACTTCCTACATTCAGGAGTTTGTGGGAAGAGCACAGAATGGCAATAAAGATGGGAAAGGCTTTCAACAAATTTTCTTTTCTTACCTTTCAGTTTTGAATATGTTTATGACACCAGAAAGCATGAGTTTTGTTTACCCTTTCAGGCATTGCTAATGCTATTGTCTCTAACTGTGGTAGAGATTGGCTAATATTTGGATGTTAAACAGCAATCTCAATTTTGCCATGGGAGGAAGCTTCTTAAATAATTTTCAAGTATTTCCTGGGGCATAGTAAGATTTCTAACTATACTTTTCATATTATCAAATCTTTTATATATCTTTTGCTGATATTCCACTGCTACAGCTTTTCGTATCTGAACATGCATAAAGTATCCCATGATTCTGTGTATAATTTTTGGCTTAAAATTTTTTATAGAAAGTCACCATCTGTTTGGGCACAGTTGTAGTTAGGGGAAAGCTTAAAGCCATTAGTAGCAAATAACCAGATTGTAGAGGGCAGCAGCAAATGTAACCTGTATGAAGCCTCTGCTTCAATAAAGGCTTTTCTTTGTTGAGCAGGTGAACTTGAGTAAAAAAGAAAGCAGAACTTAAGGGAAAAAATGTGATAGTGTTGTGGTTGGTTTCCTGGATATTTGGATGTAAGGGAGATGCATATTTTGGCTGGTTTCCTGGACACTGGGGATGGGGAATTGCCAAATGAGTTTTTGCTTTGAAAGCGCACAGGGTGCAAAAGTATTTGAAAAGGAACAGCAGCAAAGAGCCATGTGTTATGCAGATAATTTCTTATTTTTAAATAAGTGTATCAGAACTTATGAGGCACTGTGGAAAAGGCACTGCAAATACTGTGTCAATAGGTTTGGAATCGAAAAATGTAATATACTTCATAATATAAAGGTACTTAAACTCAATAAAGCCGACAAAATAATTAATGCAGTCCCAGCACTATACAGCATGTGTACGAAATGCACTGGGATTGAATGAAGGCAGCACCCAGTGCAAGAACTCCCTCTCTCTACCTGAGATGTTATGTGGTATATAATGATTCACAAGGTAGCAACAGAAGCTCTGTTGTACTCTTTTGCATTGTGCTTCTCTGTTCTTAATAGTAGGTAGGAAGTCCAGAGAAAATGTATTGATCAGCAGCTTGATTCTGCATTCTTTGCTCTTCCCACATTCCCACTGACTTCATTTGGAGTGGTGGGTGTACGAGAAAAGTAAGACTGGGTGCAAAATGCATCTATAAATACTCCAAATTGCACCATCTCTAGTATTTACAAAAATTCTCCTCAAAGTGCATGATCTTACAAATTGATGTGTTGCTGAGTACAGAGAGAATTTCTGCATAAAATATAACCCTCTGTGATGATCTGGGACTACAGCCCTAATTCCTTAGCTCGAAAAACATAAGCTCCTACAGTTGAAGCCAAGGAATAATCTTTCTTAGCTGTTAGCGATTGCAGTATTCTTTTCCTTTCTGGGATCCAGCCACAAGAGGGTAACACACATATGCATGGCTTTACAGAGCGTACAATGAATGCAGTGTTATTCCTTTGGAGTGAAAATCTTTTGCCACCTCAAATCCCACGCCACAGAAAAAATGACATTTAATTTAAAAATCAAGACATTCAGTTTTGAGATAGATGGGAAAAATTACTGAAAACATTCCCTAGAGCCTTGATTTGTTGTTGCTGTTTTGTTCATGCTAGCTTAATTCTTCTCCATTCAGAAGTTAACACTGGGTTTGTTACAATTAAATGATCCTTCATCTGTGATATTAAAGCTCTTCCATAAAGTGGTCTGAAAAGTGATGTTTTCATTTATATTAACATTTTACTGGTTAATAACAAAAACACACCTCCAAATTAGAGATCTGTCTGAAACAAACCCCTGAATCTCAACACCCCTGCCCTTGGAGGATGTTTGGATCTAGGTGTGAATTCTGAGGCTAGAGCCCATTTCTAATCAAAATAGAAAGTAAATGATAAAGAAATTAGTGTCAGTGAAGTGATCTGTCACTTCCAGAAGGTCAGTATCATCTTTACATAGAAGTTTTGCAACCATCTGAAAAGACAGATACTCTCTGGAATTGATCATGATTCTGTTAATCATGTAACTGGATAGTGTGTCTCCCCCCCATTCACTTGTTCCTTCCGAACTGTGTAATAAAGACTGAAAAGTCATATTATGTACCTAACTCCATAATATACTGTCTTTTCAAAGATACGGTCTATTTACTTGTTTGCTGTTAATCTCGTCAGGATTGATAGAAATATTCCATCATTATCTTGCCATTGCTAATGCTGTGAATGGAAATGTGTTCAATTATTTACTGGAAATAGCACCATCTACTGGAGAACCTAGCTATCAGGCTCAAAATAATTTAGAACCAGTAGATAATACTTGGAGGTATTAAACGTATCCTTGAATAATAATCAGTATATTGCCTTTGGTTTCGTGGATGGTCAAAGAAACTTAATGGAAATGGGTCAGATTTCACCTTTGTGCCACAAGTGTTACTTTCTCTTAATTTCTCTGCTTAAGTTAATTGCGGTAGCAAATTTTTTCAGCTGGGCTATTTTTTGCAGGTGCAATTTGTACCCATATTTGTTGCACTTACAAAAAGTTTGTGTCTGTAAACAAATTGTGGGCACAAATAGTCTCATTTGGGTAGCTAATTAACTGACGTTCACATTAGATAATGAGCACACAAATGCTAATACTTGTGCCTACAGTGTCATTGCAAATTTAAATTATACTTTGAAAAGGGAGGCTGGTTTATTGCTGGGGTTTTTTGTTTGTTTTGTTTTGTGTTTCATATGTAGGTCTATGAAACTACTGATCAAACCAATGTGAACCCGGTTCCTTACCTGAGGTTTAAAATACCACCACAGCTCATGTTGCAGTGATTTTTCCATTGTTTCCTGGAAATCAAATTAAAACATCTAAATATAATACAGTTTTTCTACATAGAGATATCAAACTCTTGTTGTGCATGATAATGAAAGACATTCTGCATACACAGAAACAACAAAACTATAACAAAGCCTGTTGATTTTCAAGATGACATTTCCCAGTTATTTGTATCACTTTGAGTGGATCACAATGTGTAAATGATTGAAATTGGGAGGGGTGGTCAGTATTTTCTCATCTTTGACTCCCTTGTATTTCTACCATGATGGCTTTTGCCATAACCTACACATTTTGGTACTCTATATTGGACAAATAGAGATGCAAAACCTGAAAGCTGTTCAATTTATGAATGGGTATTTGCTTTTCCAACTGCAGTACAAACCCCGTAAATCATGACATTGGGCAATGGGGTGGGAAATCAGGCACTGGAACACATAAAAAGCCCTTGAAAGTGGGGACAATAGCCATTAGGGTGATGATTTCTTTTCTCTGATCCTTATTTTAGTTAGAAGAAACTCATGTTTTATAATCTCATATAAACATAAATAAAGGAGTTAGCCCAAAGATGAATTTGATCCACGATATCTTAATGCTGTTATTCACATGTGCAAAACCAGATATGATCTCCCTCCCTGACTCTGAACCAGTCAACCTGAGCTCCTGTTCTACCTTGGGAGAGGTGATTTGGGCCTCCCCTGTCATGTAATACTCCAGGGGCAGCCCAGATTCTGGGAGGGATTTTCCTGGGAGGTTTTGCATCTTTTTTCCCCTCCATCTCTGTCTTGTTTCTCACTTCCATCATCCTCTCCCCACTTTTGTGTTTAGCTATTGCCATCACTCTCTCGCTCCACTTCCCCTAATGTTTCCTTTTTCTTATATCTTCTTTTTCTCCCTTCTTCCCTTCCTCACACTTGGCCCTTTCTTCCTCATGTAGATTTTTTTTTTTTTTCCAAACTAAAACATTTAGTACTCAGGGCTGCCCCTTTAGCCCAGTGACAGCAAGCTCTTGCTTGGGGCCTTGCATTCCAAGCATGCCCTTTAGGCTGGGCCTATCTCCTTCACTTGCACTGGGACCAGACAGGGAGGAAACTCCCCAGTCCCTTCTGCAGCAGGAGTGACAACAGTTTGACTGATCCTTCCCTCACAGAGCTTGGGACCCAGAAGGCTTGCGTTGTTCTTCTAATACTGTAGGAATGCTACTAATGCTTTCTCAATTCCACTCTGGCCAGTGCTGATGCCCAATTCCTGCCTCCTCCTGCCAGTACATCTCCCCTGCTCCATGCATATAGTATAGCAGGGAGACAAACACTGATCACAGAGACAAGTGCATTGCTGGATAGAGCATTCTGATGGACAAGTGCAATGCTGCCATGTCACAATGGGAGAAGAGTGATAAGAGACTGCTCTGAAAAAAATTGCTTTATAGCTTCTGTCCTTAGCATAGCCTAATAATGACTGTCATGAGGAAAGAGAGATTGACCTAGTTTTCAGTGCTGATGACCTACCCTAGAATCCTTCTGTGTAGAAAAGCAGATGTAAAGGCAAAGCAGTTTGCCGGTGGAGAAATGATGGAAACAGGTCACCTGTGTTTAGACCAGGCTTATGATTCAGAGATCAAAGGGAGAATACTTAAAGTGGATGTGTCAAAATGTATCTCTGAGTCAATACTATTCGATCTGATCTGCTTTTCCCAGAGAAAGGCAGATAGATAACTGCAATAGGTAGTGCTGTATATTTAGAAAATTTGCATGTAAAAAGGTACACAGATTTACTCACATCTGTATCTTAAGGAAGATTGACAGCAATAGGAGATACTTAGGGGTAGTAGTGGTTAATGGAAAAGTTTGAGAGTGAAGGACCCCTGGATTCTGTTCCCAGTTCAACCACTGACTTGCTATGTGACCAAAGGAAAATTACTTAACCTCTCTGTGCTTCGCTTCCCTTCTCTGCTGTAAAATGGGGATAATACTCTCCTTTTTTAGTAAAGTGTTTTGAGATCTTTGAATGAAGGGTATTACATAAGTGAAAAGGAATTAAATTAAACTAATTAATTAAGGGAAATGGTACTATTTCTAGACGTTCAGCACTAAATCAACTGCTGATCACTCTCCCCTTGATTCCTGTGCACCACTGGATCGAGAAGAGTAAGGGAAGTCCACATCGCATAGTGCATAAGTAGATCTAAGCTACATCGATTTGAGTTACGCTATACATGTAACTCAAATTGCGTAGCTTAGATCAACTTTTCCCTTTAGTGTAGACAAGGCCTGAGACTGGCAATCAGTGCACAGTGACTTCAGTGCTTATGTGGATAACAAGTGTTAGAATCAGCTCAGGATTTATTGGCTGCTGTGACAACCGTGAGACTATGCCAGGTGGTTACTGTCTCAAATTACATAGCTAGTCACTCTCTAGAGCTGTGTGGGCAGGAATTGGAAAGTAGGCAGGTGTTATGGACTGACCATGACTTTTTGATGTTGGGGCACACATATGCTGCCAGGGCCTGGCCTGAAAGACCCTGAGCATTCTCTCACCTGAGTGACCAGTGAAAAAGAGTTTGATGATCTCATTGTCAGGAACATCAAATTCACACAAATGTTAAAAATAAAACAATCAAAACTGATTTGTTCTTCTATTTAAAAAAAACCTTCCTGGACTTTTGAGTCTGGTGTGGAATTCAGCTTTTCCACAATACAGAATAAAGCTGTGTACTCATAAATATATATGTACAGTATTTGCAGATAGATTATATGGGAATATTTTAATGTATTTTTCCCCACAGAGCTGGATAGCGCTGAGGAACTAGAGAAGAAGCGTATCTGTAGAATCATCACGAAGGATTTTCCTCAGTACTTTGCTGTGGTTTCACGAATTAAGCAGGAAAGTAACCAAATTGGTCCTGAGGGAGGTGTTTTGAGCAGTACAACTGTGCCTCATGTCCAAGCATCCTTCCCAGAGGGTGCTCTAACTAAAAGAATTCGAGTGGGCCTCCAGGTAATAAACCACACCTGCAATAATCATTTTAATATGCAAAATCTAGAGCTGCAATTCTTAATCTGTGGGGTGCAACTCAAAAATGAGTCACAAGGATATGTCTAGTAGGTGACACCACTGACTGAGAGCTGGTAAACTCTCCTGTACCCCACAGACAGGGCTCCTGCACTCCACCTCCTACTGGGGCTAGAGCTGCTACCTGCCCTGCTTCTATCTCACCACCTAGTCTGGGAACTGCTCCACAACTCACACAGCGCTCAGCACTGTGGCAGAGGAAGTGGCTCCCATGTTCTATTTATCTTCATAGCACCAGCCACCTACCCCCATGCCAGTAGCACCAGTATCCATCCTTTCTACCCTTTTGTGTGTTAATACAGCTAAATGTATATGTATATATCTAGGAACAAAGACTGTAGGCCCTATTTACATGATGAGGTACTCTATACTGAAAGCAATGACTCTGAAAAAGATTTGGGGGTGTTGGTGAATATTCACTGAACATGAGCTTCCAGTGCAATGCTGTGGCCAACGGGACTAATGTGATCCTTGGATACATAAAGGGGAATCTCAAGAATAGAAAGGTTATTTTACCTCTATATTTGGCATTGGTGCAACCACTTCTGAAATACTGTTCAGAATTGTGTCCAGTTCTGGTGCCCACAATTCAAGAAGGATGTTGATAAATTGGAGAGTGTTCGGATAGGAGCCACGAGAATAATTAAGGGATTAGAAAACATGCCTTATAGTGATAGACTCAAGGAGCTCAATCTATTTAGCTGAACAAAGAGAAGGTTAAGGAGTGACTTGATCACGGTCTATAAGCATCTACCTGGGGAACCAATATTTGATCATGGACTTTACAGTCTAGCAGAAAAAGACAAATTCAAACTGGAAATAAGGTGTACATTTTTAACATTGAGCGTAATTAACTACTGGAACAGTTTACCAAGGATTGTGGTGGATTCTCCATCACTGACAATTTTAAAATCAATAGTAGATGTTTTTCTAAAAGATCTGCTCTAGGAATTATTTTGGATCAGTTCTATGGCCTGTTTTATACAGGAAGTCAGACTAGCTGGTCACAATGGTCCCTTCTGGCCTTGGAAGCTATTAATCTAAATCCTTGTAGCACCAACTATCCACCCCAGCCAGGAGCTCTGCATGTAAGATGTAAGGAAGCTGCAGTGGGCCCAGAGAGAATTCCTGTGGCAGAAGATCAGCCTATGGCTAGTATACATAGCACTATGCTGTCCCCTATAGCACAGGGCTATGCTTGGGGATGGGAGTGGCTGTAGTGCTTAACACTATACCTACTCTGGGCTGCAGAGCATCCCATATGCATCTGTGGGGAGTCTGCTGTAGAGCAGCCACCATCTGCTTTTCTGGGTTAAGCCAGGGCCGTTCCTATCACTTTCAAGCAGAATCCAGGAGGTGCAGAGGTGATTTAAAGCTTCCTTAAAAGTGCAGCACAGAATCTAGAGAAACCTTCCTTCTTGCTGGTTTCTGCTCATTATCATTTATTGGGGGGTGTTGACATTTTTCACAACAAAATTATTAAATAATTTAATAATTTGATTTGGTGGGTTCATTAAATAGGAGCTTAGTTTTAGATTGCTTTGCTCGGAACTTGTGCTGGTGAAACATTTTAACCATCATCTTTGCAGAACACCATACAGTACAGTTGGATAATGGAACAGGTGACAAATCAGTGCTCCGATGTCTAGTGAGAAACTTTCGGGAAAAGTAATAAACAATTTGATTCATAAAAGTATCCAAAATGTCTGATTCAAAACTTATCCAAACTTCGCAACTTCTTTGTTCTAGAAATTAGACTTGAAATGGAATAAAAACAGATTTCTTATGAGATTTTTGCTACTTTTTAGTTTGATGCAAGAATTGTGTTGCTTTTCTCACTGTAATTTGGTGCATTAATGATCACTGTGTAGATAGAGCCCCAGAAAGGCACATTTTAAGGAGGCCAAGGAAGAAGTAAAACAGGACAAACAGAAAATAAAAAGAATTGAGTTCTCATTTTGGAAGGATTCTGCTGGGCTAACATGGATTTTTATCTCAAGATATGAAATTCCTTCTCTGTGTTGACAGGCTCAACCAGTTCCAGATGAGATTGTCAAAAAAATCCTCGGAAACAAAGCAACTTTCAGCCCCATTGTCACTGTGGAACCAAGAAGAAGAAAATTTCATAAACCTATAACAATGACAATTCCTGTGCCACCCCCTTCAGGAGAAGGTGTGACGAATGGTTACAAAGGAGACACCACACCTAGCCTTCGACTTTTATGTAGCATTACAGGTTAGGCAAGAATCTACTCTTTGCAAAGGTTACTATAATAATAATGCATCCGCATTCATTTGTTATGCATTTCAAATGTAGCTTTCCAGTGAGGAAAGCCATTGATAGTTCCAAGTATTGGAACCAGTAGGATTAAAACTAGTACTCAAGTGCCTGATGCGAAGTCATTGGAAAGACTGACACTGAGTCAGTGGGCCTTGACTTTGGACTTTTGTCATTATCCATGTTAGAGGAAACTTTACAGCAATAAACATTTTATGACATTTTATTAAGTGTTCAATATGAAGAGTCTTTCCATTGACAGCTGCATACATATAGATAAAAATCCAATATGGATGCAGTCCTGATCCTATTGATTGCAGTGAGAGACTAGCCCCTGAGTTCAGTTAGGACCAGGATGTTACCCAGAATGTATATCTCGCTACATTAGAATCAGCTTCAGATATGTATGTATTATATTATTATTCAGATGTATGAGAGCAATAGTAACTAGAGTCTTCTGTGTACATGTGAAGCAAAAGAACTCAGTGTGGAAGTGTTCCTTTGCAATCCGTTTTAAAAAAAGCTTGAAGATTCATGGTACGTTTGGTTTTTGAGATAAAATTGTATATGATTTATGTGTAACTTATTTTCATAGGAGGGACTTCACCTGCTCAATGGGAGGATATCACAGGAACCACTCCATTGACGTTTATAAATGACTGTGTTTCTTTCACAACCAACGTTTCAGCCAGGTATGGGAATGCAAAATACCAAACAGACGCAATTATTTGTTTCCTTACATAGGAAAAATAGGGATTTTCCCCACAGCTTTCCATGATTCTTAAATAAGGTTTATAAAGAAATAATAGGTCAGATCCTTAGCCTGTGAAAATTGGACTCTATTGACTGTATTGATTTATACCAGCTGATGATTTGGCCCAATAACTTGCTGTACTATTTTTAATAGCAAAAATAGCTTAGTATCACTGTCTTTTATTGGTAGTTCACAGGCTTAGCAAACTATGTATGGAGCTATGTACATAATCCTTTTAAAAGAAAAGCTGATTTGATAGGACGTTAATGTTGTACAGCTAAGCATTCCATATTTAGGAAATGCCATGGTTCAGACTGCACATAAAACCTTAGCTCTGCTCCTTTGTATGCATTACAAAACAGTCTTTAATGACAGTTTTCACATACTGTTTCTCTCAAATTACAATACAGTAAAATTACAATACAGGCTTTTTGTATAACTTTTACAAAGTACATAGCTGCTCTCCCAAACACTCCTTCATACCTTTAGTACATTTCTAATTATACTGCTCTGTTTAGCTACACCCGGAAACCAAGCCTGGAAAACTTCGGCCAATGTGACTGTGAATGCTTTTGAAAGTTACGAACGACTGAACTCAGGAGAACTGGAAACTGTTTTGCATCCTCACTATAGCAGTCACTGCCACACTTGTTATAATAAATAATGTTTCTGCACATCATTTCTTGCTCTCTGGGACAGCATGAACTATACCCTGGGAAATTTCCCACACAAACCATCTGAGAGTATCTGTCAGAAAAGGGAAAAAAATCTCTTTCTCTGTGCCAGTTTTGAACATTTACGTGACAGTGGTTCACAAGTTCCTGAACCACTGAGCTGCACTCAACCAGCTGGATAGCCAGCAAACAGGAAATACAAACCAAAGACTGCTAACCAAGTTTATATAAAATTGTTTGGTTTGAGGGGTCATTACATACATAACAAGCTCTTTTATACTATGGAAGAATGTCTTCCTCTGTCCTCCTAAAGTCCCTAACTTGTGGATGTACTAATTGTCACCATGCTCCTAAACTTAATCAGAGAAGGAGACAATATAATATCTGTCCTGTAGCAAGGCCTCCTTTCTTGCATATGCAATTTATGTACCATGAGTTTTCTATACTGCAGACCGTGGATTTGGCTATACACTTTTCAGTATGGCCTCCCATCTCACTCTGAGTGCGGCTGATAGTTTATTTTAATGAAGATTAGATATGAGTACTAGTGGACCTCACAGAAGTACCATGCAAGATACAGTTTAGCGACACAAATCACACCATCTACCCAGGTTTGGCCTGAAGGATACTCAGAATGAGCAGTTACAGGAGACGCCAACAAAGGGTCACCCAAAGATACAGATTCCACCAACCCAGACAACCTCACTTTCACTCATCCAAAACACTGTAAGGAAAGCTCTGCCTTTGCCAATGGAAAATTTTCAGAAACTGCATTCATCCAAAATGGCTGTGGAATCATGGAAGCCAACGAACACAAGGATTTCCCTTTGCCTCCCCTGAAAAGTAATCTCCATTCTGCCCCATCACCGTTAGCAGAGACCACGTTTATTCTTTGCTGATGCAACAGAGTTTCTTTATAAAGTTTTGGCCAGTGTTTTGTAAAATAAACTCCTTTTGTCTTTTCTCTTTCAGATTTTGGCTGGCAGACTGCCATCAGGTACTAGAAACTGTCGGCCTTGCCACACAACTTTATAGGGAATTAATATGTGTTCCTTATATGGCTAAGTTTGTGATATTTGCCAAAATGAATGATCCTGTGGAATCTAATTTGCGTTGCTTCTGCATGACTGATGATAAAGTGGACAAAACTTTGGAGCAACAAGAGAATTTTGAAGAAGTTGCAAGAAGTAAAGATATTGAGGTATATTTCATATTAACAGCAGCTCAGATCATTCCCTTCCTCCAGGGGTGTAGAGAGTCTATGCTCTAGTTCCACTTTACAAGAGTAGGCAGGGTGCCAGGATATCACAAAAGAAGTCCACAATCACTATAAGCCAGCTACATGAAAGCCCACAGTGAGCAGGGGTGAAAGTAACTTAAGGGCCGGGGTCCTGAGCGGGCGGGGCTGGGGTGTCCCTCGGACGGAAAGGGCAGGGCCTCAGGCAGAAGGGGTGGGGCCTTTAAATCCCCAGGCCCTTTAAATAGGCGGCGATTTAAAGGGCCCGGGGCTCCTGGCCGCCATTGCAGCTACCACTACCATGGGGGCTCTGGCAGCAGGGCTCTGGCGGCGATTTAAAAGGCCCGGGACTCCCAGCTGCTATCCAGGGGCTCCGATGGCGATTTAAAGGGCCCAGGGTTGCTGTAGTGGCAGCTGGGAGCACCGGGACCTTTAATTCGCCACCGGTGCCCCGGGGCTCCCAGCTGCCGCTGCTACCCCAGGGCTCCGGCAGTGGGGCTCTGGTGGCGATTTAAAGGACCAGGGGCTCTGGCTACTGCCTGGAGCCAAGGGCCCTTTTAAATTGCCCGCCTGGGGAAGCTGCCCCCTGCCAGTACCGTCGGCTGTGTACCGGCTCTTGCTGGATATGCCGTACTGTACCGTACCAGCTTACTTTCACCTCTGACAGTGAGGCTGTGTGAAGAAACTCTTTGGAAGTGCACTAAGAAGGATAAACGGGTCCTCCTTCCAGGGTCCTCCAGTCCTTCTGCCTATTGGGAGTGGGGAGGTAATGCAAAGGACTCTGTAGAGCAGCTGACAGGGGTGCTGGAACAATTTTTATAGCAGGGGTGCTGAGTGCCATTGAACTAAACTGTAAACACTGTATATAATGGAAACCACTTCAAGCCAGGGGGTGCTGCAGCACGCCCCCCCTCTCCCCCTTTGTTCCTATGGCAGCTGCACTCCTGCTTCATAGCTTGGTGGGTTAAAATTCCTCCCTCCTTGTCCACATAGATATCTCTAGCACACAGCTGAGTTACTCTGGCTGGTTTGTTTGGGATTTTTGAGACAAACAGCATTTCTTGTGAGAAATTGTGTAATATATACTTTTCCCTCAGAGAATCCTATGCTGAAGCTAATTATAAAGATATCTGTATCTATGGAATTGGAGCTATATTTTTAAAAAGTAACTTTAGCAATGAGAATGTTTAACAAATCATAGAATATCAGGGTTGGAAGGGACCTCAGGAGGTCATCTAGTCCAAGCCCCTGCTCAAAGTAGGACCAATTCCCAATTTTTGCCCCAGATCCCTAAATGGCCCCTTCAAGGATTGAACTCACAACCCTGGGTTTAGTAGGCCAGTGCTCAAACCACTGAACTATCCCTCCCCCCCGAATGTGTTTTAATAGTTTTAATTAATCAGCCACACTTATAATGTCATATTATACATACCACAGTACTGTTGTATTAGATCAGTGTTGAACATGTGTTAAGTTGATGCATTCCTAGCTAAAGGAGGAGTTATGATGTTGGAAGAAATGGTGATATATGTTTGTGCATGTATCATAGATTTTACTCACTTTCAATTTCTGTCTTGTTGCTTTGATAGGTTCTGGAAGGAAAACCCATTTATGTTGATTGCTATGGAAATCTGGCCCCTTTGACAAAAGGAGGACAACAGCTTGTTTTTAATTTTTATGCTTTCAAGGAAAATAGACTGCCATTCTCTATTAAGGTAAAAATAAACCCCACAGAATTCTTAGTTGAGAAAATGTTTTCCTCATGTAGTAATATTGGTTCTGTCTAATATGAATAGTCTGCCCCTGAGAAGTAAGTACATAAGTATTATTATAATTTAGCAGATAGGTAATTTGGAACAGAATTTATAAGTGATTTGCATGAAGCCATAGAAGGAATCACTATCAGAGCTGGGATCAGAATACATGCTATTCTGATTCACAGTCCTTTGCCAGAACCATGCCTCAGACTAGACCTGTTCTCATATGCCTTCTAGCTGCAAGGTATATTATTTCAAGGGGTAGATCATCTACCCAAATGACAAGAGTGAGATAATACATGATCCAGATTTTGAGCCCTAGCCTCTTGTTTTTACATGTGCAGTTGATAGTGCTTCCAAAAAGTGAGTGCACACACATATTATGCATATATAATCACCTATTTTGTGGTTGCAAATGAAAATCGTGGTCACTTTTGTGAGTGCAAGTCATTGCATATACAAAACTGGGCAGAGAGAAATGCAGATGGGTTGAAAACTCAATCCAGTTTACCTACAGGAGTATTTCTCCTGGAGTGATGCCACTCAGCATGGTGCCTTGCACTGTGCTGGAAACAGTTTTGGAAACTTGTTTGCAGTGGAACAACAACCCGAGGCCGGCCCAGTAGTCTAGTTGTAGTTACAACTTTCTTCCCCATGAAAAGCTGCAAGTTGGGTTCTGGCTGAGTTCCTTTGGTCTTCAACTGGCGTGGTTGCTAGATAGCTTCTGATGGAAGGGAACACCACCTATTCCTCTGCAACAGCTTTCTCTAGCTGTCCAAACTAATTCTGATGGTCTCCAATGGGAGCCACGCTCAATACTCCTTTTAGAGAAGAGGTCCCCTCAGGGACTTTGACTTCTCACATGCCCTTTGTGGGGGAAACAGACCATGTTAAATGTAATGCAAAAAACATACATTTCAAACAATTAAGTCAATCTATTGTATGATAAATTTTTCTAGATTAGAGACACCAGCCAAGAGCCTTGTGGTCGTTTATCATTTTTGAAAGAACCAAAGACTACAAAAGGACTGCCACAAACATCTGTTTGCAACTTAAATATTACTCTTCCAGCACACAAAAAGGTATTTCTGCCAGCACTCTTTTTGTTTTGTTTAACTTTTAGTTTAACTTTTTTTGCTAGTAATAAAGAAACCCTATGAAATGCTAGTAATGCGAATGCTTTGTAATATGATTAAGGCTGTTATAAATTTATGTTGTATTAGTTTTTTGTATATAAAAAGCTTTTAAAGTCTGTTGTTACTGTGGTGTCAAGTTCCTATTATTTTTATGATCGGGTCCTCTGTTTACAGCTCATGCTTCAGCTTGTAGTTCATAGATTTTATGCATTCAGTAATGTCGTGTTGATTTGCACTTGATGTAAGATTTTTTTTCTTTTATGTTGACATTTTGGATTTGCTTTGGCTTATAAATCAGCTTGCATTTTGTGTCCCAACTTTGTCCTTTTCATATCCTGATATTCTTTTCCCTGCTGTCCATTATAATATTCCTTGTCTCTGCAATGCACCTTGGAACCAAAAGGAAACAGAGTCAGATCAAGATGATGAGGTAATATAAACACTCTCTTCTGTTTTTATTTTCTTCAGAATTAGTGCAGAAAGATAAATGTGTTCTAGAAAAGTGTCTTTTAATTATAGCAGTGAATATTAACAATATATACTACACATCTATGTTCTGTTATCAAGAAATAAAAGTGCAGGCATGTGATGAAATAAGATCATATGTTATAAATTTAAACGCAGTATATGCTAATATTCTGAACTTCAGCTCACTTTATTCTTAGAATGTAAATTATGAAATTTATAATATACAAGCCAAATTCATCCTTCATATAGCTGAAGTCAGTGGCATTACATACACCAGGGATTAATTAGCGCTCTTATGTTAATAAACATTCAGTATTTCCCTAACCTGTATTTCTGTATACCCTTTAAACATTGGCCTATTGTATTTTTATTCCTGAAAATAACCCCTATTTTTTTTAAAAAAACGCAAAATAACTAGGAGTAATTTCTAAGTATTTTAGTGTATCTATTTTCAAATAAGCTCCAGATCTCCACAGCTTGTCACAGTTGTTAACAGAAAATATCTCTCTTTAGTAATCTTAATTAAGTTGTCTCAGGTCAGAAGATGAACCTCATTTTATGCACTAAGGGATACACAGTGAGTTTTAAGACACTAGAAATAGAAAACCTAGTACAGAAACATCAGATACGTATCCATTTTATTACTAGAATAAGAGTTCCTTGTGTGTAGCCCTCTCTTTCTGATTGCTGATAAATAGCATTAGCCACCTGATGACTAAAATCAAATAAGAGTCAGTACATCAAAAAGATAACCATATCTTTTGGTTTTCATTTGACTTGTGCCTGGTGAGTTATTTTATAGGTATCTCAATAGTTTTCTTTCCAAACAAACTATATTTTTGGAGACATGATCAAATGAACTGGTTTCTGTGAATGACTTTTAATATGAATAAATAGAGCTGCAAAAATAGCACTGTAACTGCTATGCCATTAGACACCGTAACTTATGATGCAACTTCCTAGTTAGCAATTGTATTCTGCTTTCTAATATACATCTCTGTGTTTTGTGCATATTAAAAGAAATCCCCTTTCATGCCTTTTTTGTCCTTAATGTACTCACTTTAAAGCAAGCATACATTGTGGTTTATGTGCTTTCAAGACAGATTAATGTTGGGAGAGGTATTTGATCAGCCTAAATTATACTCTTATTAGTGTTTTATGTCTGTATCTGTAGTCTTTTATGTTGATGCTTCTGTTTTTAGCCAAAATACAGAAAAATAAATCATGCCATTTTAAGTAGTATGGAAGAGATTACTAAAAGATAATGGGATTTTACAGTATTTAGGTAATATGGGGCTAGACTGTGACTTTAGACAGTGCCCTGAACTAAATGTACTGTGTTCACAGCACCACCTCAGAAGTATACCCGGGAGATGACATATCCCTATGAGTTAAAATTCCTGCCCTGCTTTCGTGCCTCCTCCAGAGGATTAGTAATTTACTGCTGGTTTATATTACCAGCTAATTATTACTCCTCTACACAAAAATGGTTTAGCTGCACTGGCCAGCAAGCAGGAACGGAGCCAAGGCTTTGCCCATTGCCTACCACCTGCTATGTAGGGGGAAATGCAACCATGTAGCCCTGTTTTCTCCTGTGCACCCTCATCAAGCTGTAAGAGTGGATTCTTATTCCCTTGTGTGGGTGTGTAGTCCAAGTATGATCTAGCCCACTGTACTGAGATATCATAATCAAGCTGTTCACAATATTTGAAAAGTACCAAGTGGAAATGTGTTTTGTTGCAGACGGAGAAATCAGACCGGCGTCAAAGCTTTGTCTCTCTTGCTTTACGTAAGCGCTACAGCTATCTGACTGAGCCTGGAATGAGTGAGTTCCATAACAAACCTACTAATACCGTATATACCCTACTTTAATAAGAAGAGACATTTTTTCTATAAATGTTGCATTTAGTGTCCTTTGAAAAAAATTAATAGAAAAATTGTTTATAGCTAAACTTTTGGATGGTCTGTGAGCCTCTGCATTGTGAGAGCTTGGAGAATCCTTACTGGTAAGCAGCATGCTCCAGTTAAAGTAAATAAAAATAATAATAAAAAAGCCACATAATTTATTGGCCAGAGCAAGGGCAACTGAATTGAAAAGTATTTTCCAAAAGACAGTCTGTGCCTCCTCCCTGCAAAATGTTAATTAATGAAATCTAGCTGTATCACAGTGATGCATTAGATATAATAATGGGCAAAACTCAGTGGGGTTGGAAGGTTCCTTTCAGATAAAATGTTTGACTTTTTATTCAGTTTATTTGAGCTCCTTTCTATTTTATAGCTTCTTCCTCTCTCTCCCCATTTTTCCCCCATATTCCATAGAGCCTTTCCTTGTACTCAATCATAGCCTTCTCTTCTATCCCCATGTCCTTGACCTGACCCATGGCCCTGCTTCCTTTTCTCTCTTTAAGTACAATAATGTATCTGACAACCTTTGCTTCCCTCCCCAATCAGAATGTGGTTATTCTTGTGTTTTCTCTTCTCCTCCAGCAGCCAGTCAAACTTCTCATTCCCTGAACTTCAGTGACCCTTCGATATAATTTCATAAAATCCATTTACAAATCCATTTACAAATCTCATCAGGTTTGCTATTGGATTTATTGTCTCACTACATTGTAGTGGTAGGACTGTCGTGATACAACATACCTCCTGGGAGCTGCTGGGAGCTGGGAGCTCCTGCTGGGAGCTGCTGTTTAAAGATCTTGTGAGCTCTGTGGGGTTTTGAGGTGCTCCAGAATGCATTGTGCTTCTCAGACACAGGAGAAGACCTGAAGTATATAAGATCTGATGACAGCACCTGGCCTTAAGAGACTACCAGACAAGCTGAGACCTCATAGTGAACTCTGAGATATCATCAAAGATTTGTTGGCTATATGTTTCAAGTAAATTGTGAATAGAGCATCGTTCTGTTGGGCAGACTTAAATATGCTCAGTCACCATTTTCATTCACCTGTAGCAGGTGAGGAAGTGGGAATAACACACAATAGGACATGCATTAGGTAAGAGATCTCCACATGTCAAGTGCATAGTGGGGCATGAGGCTAAAGGCCAAATTCATTCAGTACCCAGGAGGTGCAGGTATGTAAAACAACTGCACTCTCTAAAATATCCTATTCCACTTAGAAAATGACATAATTGAGTTTTTTATTTTTTAAAAATCAGTAAAAAAAAGCCATATTTTTTTCTAAACCACACAGTTATCTCAAAACTGCATGTGCCGTTAATTTTGTCGATGAGGTTGCTGACCCAGTCCTTTTCCACAAATATAATATGGAGTATAGACAAGGCATTTTTAAAATATCTGAATACATGATGTAATGGAGAAAAGAATATTTGCAATTAGGAGAGACTCCTATTGGATTTATTGTCTCACTACATTGTAGTGGTAGGACTGTCATGATACAACATACCAAGAGTCTAGTGGCATTTACAGATACTTTAGTGTAGAGCAAATTATTTTTATTTCGTTACTGCCCTTCACTATTGTTTTGGCTTCTTATTTTTTGGATTTGTGACTGCTTTTGAATCTTGGCAGCTACTCCTAATAAACCACTGTGGTAAAATTTATTTAATGAAGTTTTTCAGAGAGGGGAAATGAGAGAGTAAAGAGTGGTCAGACTTTAGTTTTAAAATGATTTATACCAATATACTTGCAATGGCTGTCTTTTGGAATAGACTGTGCCAGTATGCCAAGCATTCAAGCTCTTTCCAACCTAAATGTTCTAATACTATAATAGCGTTACCTAGTCAATGCATCTGTACGCCTTCGCTTGGTATTTGTAGGCTCACCACATTTTCCCATTACAGCATATGGGCCTATGGCGTGCTGAACATCTTTTTAGATAAGCTTCTGTGACATAACTTTAGTAACTTAATGTTAGTCTTATTTTGTTTCTTTCACTGTGAATTACTGTCGAGCTAGAAGATAGACCAAACAGCTTTGATAAATTGTCAGCATAACTTCAGACAAAGGTGTGCGGAATAGGTAGCAAAGAAACCAAGTAAAGAAATTTTGCCTAAAAGTTATTTTACTTATTTGTGGAAGAACTCTCTGAATGTCATTGCTGTGTCAGAGGATATGGAAGCTGTAATGTCATTCCCAGAAATACTGCCTTCTGGATTGGTACCTCCAGCCAGTGACTTCAAAATCTGACTGGCCCTACTGATTTGGTTTGCGATGCCTGTGAATATGTTGGGCCTTTTTGGGGATGCTCATAGTTAACAGATTTGTCTTGGCCAGATCATCTCTACCTACTATATTGTTCTTCAAGTACTTATCTAATGTTATCTTTTGAGAAATGTAAAGTTGAACAGGTCTTTCTTTGAGCTGATACAAGAAATCTCCTCAAAAGGAGCAAGACACTACATCTTGTAGAAAAAGTGTACTCTTCTTTTAAATGCCTCTTATGAAAATACTTATTTACATGTTGTGCATAATACAGCATATAAAATGTATTACTTCATTTGCTTGTTTTGACATGGTGTACTATGCATGAGTAAAGTGTTTGAGTTGCTTTGCTTGCTCACGTTTATCATAAATCATTTTCCATTTTTCATGTATGACAAATGCTTCTTAAATCATTTCATTTAAAGTTTTACTTTAGTTTGACCAAACAAAAGGAATATCGCATGAAAAAATGCAAAAGGTTCCTATTTATTTTTTTAACCCTTGACTCAGAAAAGTTCTTGCTCTTATTGGCTTTGTGAGCGTGAAGCATATACGAATTGTGCATGGATAGATAAAGATTTGAATTTATTCCAGTTGCTTCACAGTTTGCACATCAATTGCCTGTCACTTAAAGGTATTTTGGGTTCTGCATGAAATAGTTCTGAGTGGTTTTCAAAAAGGATTTTAGCTATTTAATGTCATTCTACACAAGTTTATATTGTTTTATATAGGTACAATATATGTTGTTTAATGATACTGCTAAGGATAGAACAATAGAAATTACTAAAAGGATAATTGTAATAGTTGCACAAAGCTAAGACGTACCTATACAGGCAAAATGGAACTGAGATTAATATTTCAAAACTAGCACATCAGAAAGTCAATAAGGAAGTAAGAGAAGAATTTTGGCTGTGGTTATTATTTTTACTATTATGGATTCCTCTTTTTGTGTTTTCTGTTTTCCATTGTTTGCGGACTTGGTTGCAATGTGCTTAGTGTCTTTCATTTCATGTTGCTTTTTATTTTGGATCAGTCGTAATTATATGACTCATTCCTCTTTTTTTCCTTTTTAATTGTTCTTTTTGCCTATTTCATTCTGATTCATACAAAAAATTGTACTTGCTTTTTGTAATATTACAACGTTTACTGACCAATTTTCTTCTCTGGTCTCTCTGTTTTTCAATCATTTTTGTTGATTTTACGTTTGATTTTGATTTTAAACTTTTAAGAAACAGTTGAACGGACCGCAGGAGCAACAAGATCCCTACCTGCTACTTATTCATACAAGCCATTCTTTTCAACAAGACCATATCAGTCATGGACAACAGCTCCAATTACAGTGCCTGGACAAACTAAATCAGGCTTCACCTCCCTATCGAGCTCTTCCTCCAATACTCCTACAGCTTCCCCATTAAAATCAATATGGTCTGTTTCTTCTGCTTCTCCAATCAAATCCACGTTAGGAGCTTCTACTACCTCTTCAGTTAAATCTGTTAATGACGTAGCATCTCCAATTAGATCATTTCGGACAATCTCTTCACCAATAAAAACCGTTGTATCACAGCCTCCATATAATATCCAAGTTTCTTCTGGTTCTTTTGTCAGAGCTCCTGCAGTAACAGAAGCCAGTAATTTAAAAGGGATGGCATCCACTTCAACATTTCCTTCTCGGACATCTCCAGTGACTACAGCAGGGTCTCTTTTGGAGAGATCATCCATCACCATGACACCTCCAGCATCCCCCAAATCGAACATTAACATGTATTCTTCAAGTTTGCCATTTAAGTCTATCATTACATCAGCATCACCACTTTTAACTTCACCTTTAAAGTCAGTGGTTTCTCCTGCTAAGTCAGCAGTTGATGCTGTTTCACCATCTAAAGTCATGACGACTTCATCTCTCTCATCACCTGTGAAACATATACCTGGGCCTACAGATGTAGCATTGGTTAATGGATCCGTGTCACCTCTGAAATATCCATCCTCTGCCAATGTAATAACTGGATCCAAAACTGCAGCTATGTTTCAAGACAAGATCTCTGCAGCTACAGATTCTGCAGGATGTGCTGCTAATCTAGCCACTGATACAGTTGAGAAAGTATTTCCGACCACTACTACAATGCCATTTTCTCCACTCAGGGCATTTGTGTCTTCAACACCATCTGCTTTTCAGTCAATAAGAACTCCTTCTGCAGGTGCACTATATACATCTTTTGGGTCAATATCTGCAACTACCTCATCAGTAACTTCATCAACAATAACAGTGCCAGTATATTCTCTAGTCAATGTTTTATCTGAACCAGCATTAAAGAAGCTTCCAGAGTCTTCACTTACAAAATCAGCAGCTGCATTACTATCACCTAGTAAAACATTGACTACAGAGACACGTACACAGCCTCACTTTAATCGGACTTCATCTCCTATGAAATCATCCTTGTTTTTAGCACCTTCTGCTCTTAAATTGTCTACACCATCTTCTTTATCCTCCAGCCAGGAGATATTGAAAGATGTTGCTGAAATGAAAGAGGACCTAATCAGGATGACTGCAATATTGCAGACAGATGTAACGGAGGACAAGCCATTCCAACCTGAACTAACAAAAGAGGGTAGAATTGATGATGAAGAACCTTTTAAAATTGTTGAGAAAGTAAAAGAAGACTTGGTAAAAGTTAGTGAGATACTGAAAAAAGATGTGTGTTTAGAAAATAAAGAGTCGACCAGAGTGTCAAAAAGCGATAAAGGACACTTATCTGAAGATGAATGGGTAGAGTTCAGTACAGAGGAGATTGATGAAGCAAGACAGCAGGCTATAACGTGCCATCCTGTTCCAGAAAAAGGGCAAATTAAAGCTAAAGCTGCATCTGAAAAGGATTACAATTTGGCAAAAGTTATTGATTATTTAACAAATGATATTGGTAGTAGTTCATTGGCAAACATAAAGTACAAGTTTGAAGAGGGGAAAAAAGATGAAGAGAGACAAAAACGCATTTTAAAACCAGTGATTGCTTTACAGGAACATAAACTTAAAATGCCTCCAGCCTCCATGAGGCCTTCTACTTCAGAAAAAGAATTATGTAAAATCGCAGATTCCTTTTTTGGAACAGATACTATTTTAGAATCTCCAGATGATTTTTCTCAACATGACCAAGATAAAAGTCCTTTGTCTGACAGTGGCTTTGAAACAAGAAGTGAAAAAACACCTTCAGCCCCACAAAGTGCTGAAAGCACAGGGCCAAAACCACTTTTCCATGACGTACCCATCCCTCCTGTTATTACAGAAACAAGAACTGAAGTAGTTCATGTTATCCGCAGCTATGAACCATCATCAGAAGAGATTCCAGAGCAGCAAACAGAGGAGCTACCTTCATTGAAACCTGCACTTACTTTAATGGAGTTGGAACAAAAACCCACTGGGTCTATTAAAGAAAAGGTTAAAGCATTTCAAATGCAAACCAGCAGCAGTGAAGAAGATGACCACAAGTGTGTTCTTAGCAAAGGTGTCCGGGTGAAAGAAGAAACTCACATCACTACTACTACTAGAATGGTTTATCATAAACCTCCATGCACTGAAAGTACCTCGGAAAGAATTGAGGAAACAATGTCTGTTCATGACATAATGAAAGCCTTTCAATCAGGACGTGACCCTTCCAAAGAACTGGCAGGTCTGTTTGAACATAAATCGTCAGTAACATCAGATGTTAGCAAGTCTGCTGAAACTTCACCACAACATGCAGAGAAGGACAGCAAAATGAAACCCAAACTGGAGCGTATAATAGAGGTCCATATTGAAAAAGGTAATCAAGCTGAACCTACTGAAGTCATTATTAGAGAAACAAAAAAGCATCCAGAAAAAGAAATGTATGTATATCAGAAAGACTTACCTCGGGGAGATATTAACTTAAAAGGTTTGGAAAAACATGATACTTTTCCTTGTTCTGATGAACAAGGTCAGCAAGAAGAAGAAGAGCTAACAGCTGAAGAGTCACTTCCTTCTTATCTGGAATCTTCTAGAGTAAACACTCCTGTGTCTCAGGAAGAAGACAGTCGCCCTAGTTCTGCTCAACTCCTGTCTGATGACTCTTACAAAACACTGAAGCTTTTGAGTCAACACTCAATAGAATACCATGATGATGAGTTGTCAGAATTAAGAGGGGAGTCTTACAGGTTTGCTGAGAAAATGCTTCTTTCAGAAAAGCTAGATGTGTCTCATTCTGATACTGAGGAGTCAGTTACTGACCATGCTCTACCCCTTAGTTCAGAGTTACAGGGGTCTGATAAACAATGCAGAGAAAAAGTAGCCACTGCCCCCAAAAAAGAAATTCTTTCCAAAATCTATAAAGATGTGTCCGAAAATGGTGTAGGTAAAATGTCTAAAGATGATCATTATGATAAAGTGACAGTGTTACACTACACTGGAGATGTTAGTAGTCCAAAACATGCCATGTGGATGCGCTTTACTGAGGACAGATTAGACAGAGGTAGAGAAAAGATGATGTATGAAGACAGGGTGGACAGGACTGTTAAGGAAGCAGAAGAAAAACTGACTGAAGTATCACAGTTTTTTCGGGACAAAACAGAAAAGTTGAATGATGAGCTACAATCTCCAGAGAAAAAGCAACATAAAAAAAATGGCAAAGAAATGCATTCTAGTCATAGCTCTGCCAGCAGCAGCCCTGAAAAAGTACTGCTCACTGAAATAGTGACATTGAGTGATGACTGGAGTAAAGTACAGCAGTATGGGCATGATGGAAAGTGTTCTCCAAAAGCCGATGAAAGAAAAGCAGCAAGTTTGCCCAGCAGTCCTGAAAGAAGGATTCTTGCTCAACAAACAGGGGACTGTAAACAAACTATGGAACACAAAGGAAATGCTCCGCAGAGTAAACCAACTGAAGCTTCACAGACTGGATTTCAGCTAAAACAATCCAAGCTTAATTCCATTAAACTTAAATTTGAACAAAGTATAAGTCCAAGGACTAAAGATCTATCTCAAGAAGAAAAAAAGGAAGATAGTCAATCCAAAATTCCAGTAAAGAAATTACAAGAAAGCAAACTACCAGTGTATCAGTTTTATGCAAGAGAAAAGCACCCAAAGCAAATAGATCTGACAGAAGGAAATACATCATTGCAAAAAGAATTTACTACTATGAAATTGAAAGAAGATAATGTCCAAGGTAAAGGAAAAGTTATAGAAGACATTTGTGCTTCAAAGGTACAGGAACAGAGCACTGAAACATCAAGTAAAAGTCTGCTAGAATATACTTCTGAACAGCAAGCTAAAGACTTGGCATATAGCTCAGACTTACCAGCTAAGGGACATTGGGACAAAAAAATCTATCGAACATGGGAAAGTCCTGGAGCTTCTAACCATAAAGCACAAAAAGAAAAGCTTTCCCATGTACTTGTTCAAGATATGGTGAAAGAAAACCATGTTGACTATGCTGAGACTAAAACTAACAAAAAGAGTGAATTTATCACTGTGACAGAGTGTGAACACAAATTGCCAACACATGGATCCCATTCAAAGGAGATGAAGGAAATGACTGTAAAATCTCCATCAAAAAAGGTTCTATACAGAGAGTTTGTTGTCAGAGAAGGGGAATACACCAATGAAATGACAGATAAAACTTCAAAAAGAAAGGAATTGACTGTGTCCCACATTCCAGTCAGAATTTCTGAGGAGAAAAGAATTTCATCTCCTACCATTCTTGATAGTGTTTATGATCAGTCAAAAAAAGCAGTATATGAACTGTCAGCTAAAGTGTCCCGGTCAACTATGATTAAGGAGCAAGTTCAGAGAGAATTTGATTATGTAGAAGATGAAAAAATAAAGCATTCAAAAGTCACTAAAGTTACCAAGCAACAAGGTTCCATAGTGTTAAGTCCTCCTGTGGAGGAAACTGAAATATCCCCTAGCAAATCACCTGATTCTTTAGACATTAGTCCTGGAAAGGAATCTCCTTCAAGTGAGGTATTTGACCCTAGTCCCCTTGATTACTTGGATAAAGTTGCACCTTTAGTAAATAGTGAGGGAGTGAAAGAGGTAAAGACTTTGCCAGTTTATGTCAGTTTTGTTCAAGTAGGAAAGCAGTATGAAAAGGAGGTGCAACAAGGAAATGTAAAAAAAATTGTAAGTCAGGAAAGTAAGACAGTACAAGAGACTAGGGGGACATTTTATACAGCTAGACAGCAAAAACAACCGCCTTCTCCACAAGGTAGTCCAGAAGATGACACTCTAGAACAAGTATCCTTTATAGATAGCTCTGGGAAAAGCCCTTTAACACCAGAAACACCCAGCTCAGAGGAAGTGAGTTATGAGTTTACCTCTAAAACACCCGACTCACTAATAGCTTATATACCAGGCAAGCCCAGTCCCATACCTGAGGTTTCTGAGGAATCAGAAGAGGAAGCAGAGGCTAAGTCAACCTCTGTAAAACACATAGCAGTGGAAGCACCAAAAATTGACAAAATATTGCCTAATAATATAAACAAAGATTCTAACAAAAGACCCAAAAGTAACAGAGTTGCCTACATTGAATTCCCACCTCCTCCACCATTAGATGCAGATCAATCTGATTCAGAAAAGAATCATCGTTATTCCCCTGAGAGTGAAATGGAGATGATAGAAGTAAATCTGCAAGATGAATATGACAAATGTCAACTGGCTGAACCAGTCATAAGAGTACAGCCACCTTCCCCCGTGCCACCGGGAGCAGATGTCAGTGACTCTAGTGATGATGAATCACTCTATCAACCAGTTCCATTAAAAAAGTATACTTTTAAATTAAAAGAAGTTGAAGATGACCAGAAAGAAGTCTCAAAACCCAAAGTTTCTGACAAGAGTCAGAACCAGAAAGAGTTAGGGGATCCCGGTTCTGGAAAACCTAATGAGTTTGACATTGGTCTTGAGTCACCCCAGAATGACATAGCACAAAATGGGACTAATGACCAGTCTATCACCGAGTGTTCCATAGCAACCACTGCAGAATTCTCTCATGATACAGATGCAACTGAAATTGACTCTCTCGACGGTTATGATTTACAAGATGAAGACGATGGTTTAACTGAGAGTGATTCTAAACTTGCAGGTCCAGCAGTAGAAACCAAAAAGGATATATGGACTACAGAGGGCATTTTAAAACAGACTGATCGTTGCTTTAGCCAAAGTAAGCTGGAAGTTATTGAGGAGGAAGGAAAGATAGGCGCTGAAGAAGACAAGGCACTTGCAAAAGGTCCAGGTTCTGAAAAGAATGCAGATAAGACTGAGCAGAAGTCAGGTGCACAGTTTTTCACCTTGGAAGGCAGACACCCTGACAGAACTGTGTTTCCTGATTCGTATTTCAGTTACAAAGTAGATGAAGAATTTGCAACACCTTTTAAAACAGTAGCTACCAAAAGTCTAGATTTTGATCCATGGTCCAGTAATCGAGGAGATGATGAAGTATTTGAAACTAAATCAAGGGATGATGAGGCTAAGCCATTTGGTCTGGCAGTAGAAGACAGATCGCAAGCAACGACACCTGATACAACTCCAGCCAGAACTCCAACGGATGAAAGTACTCCAACTAGTGAGCCCAACCCCTTCCCATTTCATGAAGGGAAGATGTTTGAGATGACTCGCAGTGGTGCAATTGACATGAGCAAGAGGGATTTTGTTGAAGAAAGACTCCAATTTTTTCAGATTGGTGAGCATACTTCTGAAGGGAAGTCAGGGGACAAGGGGGAAGGGGATAAAAGTACAGTAACTGCCATCACACAGCCACAGTCAGGGGACAGCATTGTAGAAACAAACTTAGAGAGACAAGTAGAAACAACAGCAGTTGAACATAAGCCCATCATCCAGGCCAGTGGAGATTGTATGGAAGCCACACTTGGTAGTAATTCTCTGGAGAAATCATCGACAACTGTTAACACTTCTAAAGTTGATCCCAAATTGCGCACACCTATTAAAATGGGAATTTCTGCTTCCACGATGACTCTGAAGAAAGATGGCCCTGGAGAAGTGACAGATAAGATAGAAGCTGCGATGCCCAGCGGTCAGGGATTAGAAAATGAAAATGTAGTAGTGATTACAAGTTCAGCTACTAGCGAGAGAAGCTGTAGGCAAAAAGAAAAACTTGATTTTCAAAAAGATAATTTTAATAACAACAACAATTTGGATTCATCTGCTAGCCATACAAATAATAATACCTGTAATGTAGAGCTAAAAGAACATTGTGAATCCAAGTGTTCCATACAGAAAGCTAACCAAATGAAAAGCACTTCAGGAAAAGGGACAGGGGCAACACAAGGACACAGAATAACAGATAAGCAAAAAGTACAAGGACAGCAGCAAAGGTCAAGGGAGTTGGTAGGGAGTAGAGCAAAATCAAAACTTCCCATAAAGGCCAGTTCAGTAAAAGAAGTCGTCCCACAAAATAATGTCCAAAAAAGTACAGCGAGTAAAGTGAGACAGGCTAGTAAACCCGACAAAATAAAACAAAATAATTCTTCTCCATGTCTAGAAGTAAAATCTAAGATTCCAATAAAAAATACACCCAGAAAAAATCTAGCTATATCTAGAAAAACACCAACAATGCAAAAGCAAGAGCAGTTAGAGAAAGGAAAAATCAAACAGCTTCCTTCCAAATTACCAGTAAAGGTAAGGTCTACCTCCGTCACAATGACAACAGTGAAAGTAAGGAAAAATCAGCTTAGGGAGGTATGTAAACATTCTATTGAATATTTTAAGGGAATTAGTGGTGAGACATTAAAGCTTGTGGATCGTCTATCTGATGAAGAGAAAAAGATGCAGTCAGAGGTGTCTGATGATGAAGAAGACAGTTCATCAAGAAATACATCATCAGAAGCTACTCAAGTTTACCAGCCTTCCATTACATCGAAGTCTGCTAGAGATATGAGAACAGAGGCAGCATCTTTAAAATCAAAGATTGAAAAGGTCGACAGTGAGAGGAGGAGAAGTAAGAGGACTGGTGAGAATGAAGGCAGTCAGGTTTCTGGAGCTCTCATGGCTCACCTCGTGGAGATCAAGCCTAGTTTGTAAAACTTTCAACTTGTTGATCCTAGTGCATGAACTGTTGTGATTGCCTGTGGAGTGACTTTCTGTAGTTCTCATTCTGTCATTGTCATCTGTATGTGCTGTCTTATACTCTTCTTTCTTCCTTTAAACAAATTCTATATTGTAGACAGCTAGTGAAGCATGCCGAAGACATTGATGTAATTCAGGACTTTGAAAGATTTATTTTGTGACAGCAAATTTCATTCTGTCAAAGTAGAAAAAATAGATGTTAATCCCACCCTGGTGTTTTTCACCAGTAATAGAAACATTTGTGTATAGTCCAGTAGCTAGAACGTCAGCATGTTTGGTCTCATACTACAACATCATGTAGTTTGACATTTGACTTTAGACAGGTGAAAATATAAAAGCTGTGACAAAGAAATTATTTTGTAGGTTATTAAGACACAATCATTTTAGTATACAATCTGAACACCAGCAACTTGGTAAAATTAAAATATTATAAACTATTGTCCAGTGTTGTAGGTTTCTTTACAAAATCTTTTTAATCAAGAAATTGTAAATCACAGGTCCACAGAGTCCATGTGAACGAACAGACATAAGGATGGCAATTGTAGCTGATCATCTGGGACTTAGCTGGACAGGTACGTTTTTATGCTGTCAGACTGAAATTGAACTTAGCAATTATTTTTGCAGATCATCTTTTATAGTCGGGTACCACAAGTTCTTTATCGACTTGACCATATTCAGTTCCCATAGAAGTCACTCAGGATTGAGGGTTCTGTGCACATTGTCGGCGGTGCTCTCTAACTCCCAAAAGTGGAGTCCGTATCAGTTTGTTGTAAATTATTAAACATTTCAATAGATTTTCAGTTAAAAGAAGAAACCTCGCAGGAAGTGCTAATGGTAGAATTGTCTTGTCATTGATCAGTAAATAAACAAACACTTTTATTTAAAATGGTGAAAAAAATTTATTCTCCTTAAATCTTGTTCTGGGAATAGTTGGCACAAATGGGTTGAGAGGGTTGAGAACCTGCTGGCTGGACACTCATCTGGTGTAATATGGCATTTCCTGTTGTCCTGTGTCCTGATTTTCCAAAGCACTGAGCACCACAAGCTCCCAATGGCTTCAGCAACATTTACAGGTGTTCAGCATCTCTGAGAATAAGGCCCATAACAGTAATTGTAGTAGTCCTGCAGTTCTACACCGTACAGCAATGCAAATCAACTTGTATCATAAACTCAGCTTGTTGTACTGTGTCACCCTGTATCAGTGATTATAGTGTAGATGAAGAGTGATATGTAGTAATCTGGATATCAAGCATATATAGGATACAAGATTTTAAAAATCAACAGCAATGAGGTAACCTCTGCAGAGATTTTGTTCACAATTTTTACCTTACAGCAGTGTGTGTACTTGATACAGGTATGATAATACCTACCAGGGATATGATTACAAGATATGGCATGATGTCTTTCTGTGAAATGTTAATACCCCTGGTTGTAATTATCTCATAAATTAATTATAAACTATGTTTCAGATTTTTTTTACATTAATTCATCTGTGTGACCGAATAAAACTGTTACTTTTACAGAATTGACAAGATAAGACTCACATGATGATAATGGTATATTTTTTCTTGCTTTATAGAACTGGCAAGAGAACTGAATTTTTCTGTGGATGAAATTAATCAAATCCGTGTAGAAAACCCAAATTCTCTGATTGCTCAGAGTTTCATGTTATTAAAAAAATGGGTTACCAGAGATGGGAAAAATGCTACAAGTAAGTTCAGAGCAGTTATTGTTGGTTATAAATTATACACAACTTCATATGTTGCCATATTCTAAATAGTGTAGTTCCCATCATCTTTATTATTTGGACATGAATATGAAAACGTCATAAAGCTTTTCTAAGTAGCACTCATGAAATAACATTTCCTGCTCTAGCTATTTTTACCAGGGTTAAAGAAATTACAATATGTATTCACTTGGTAATTACCGTATCTGTTTATGTAGTTGCTTCATTTGAATCGTTGCATACTGGAAGAGAAGAGAGAGGGTAAACCTTCACTTCTTGGCCTTCATAGTAGGACAGTCGTGTCCTCTACCATCTTCCAACTCATACATTCCTAGTTTAGCTCAGTTAAATCTCCGTCCTAGCTCTCCCGATCAGCTCCAATATGTGTCACTGGCCTGATCCGTCTTCTGAATGCCTGTTATTCTCCAGGCATATGTAAAGGAATGAGGATAATTGAGGATAAGTTTTCTTCAAGTTTTCAACTGTCCTTTTTCACTAGTTTTGTCACTAAAACCGCTGACAAATGTGTACTGTTTATAAGTACTCAGCCTGTACCCTGGGATGGGCTGCATGTGTTAGCAGGACAGAATCCCCTGTAAGAGGTTGCAGAGTGGATGCTGAACCACCCTGTTGCCATTATTGCAGCCATTATACATGCTGAGCCCTCCCCCTCCCGCACGATGTATGGGTTTGGCCGGTGAGTCTGGAGAGTTGTGATTCCACCAGCCATGCTCTATCATCACCCCTAGTCCCCTGCAAAAGATGCAGATGCACTGTATGGACTTCCCCACCAGACCCATCCCTGTTTCAGCTGAGCTGCACTGATTTCACTTTGTTCAGATCCTTCTCTGCCTGGGAGAGGGAGAGGACCCTTTCTGTCCCTAGATCTTTAGGGGGCATATCTAATAATTTAACAGAAATAAAAATCTGAAATGTAAGGATGAATGTGAAAGGGATCCATCCCTTAGGGTCATTTGCAGAAATACCATCTGCCCAACAAGATTTCTCTACATCTAAATACCATCACATTTATTAGAGAGATGGGGTGGGTGAGGTAATATATCTTTCATTGGACCAACTTCTGTTGGTGAAAGAGACAAGCTTTCAAGCTACCCAGAGTTCTTCCAAAAGCTTGTCTCTCTCACCAACAGAAGTTGGTCTAAATAAAGGATATGATTACCTCACCCATCCTGTCTCTCTAATACAATGGTACTGACGTGGCTACAGCAAAACCACACATCCCATTTATTGATCATTAGCCCTATGTTCAGTCACCTGTTGTTCCAAAGTCTACCATGGCATCCTTAGTGGAAGGATATTTTGTTCTTATAGTGAGGAAATATATTCTTTAGGAACCCTCTGGTCTCAGTCATGTTGCTTCTAATGATGGCATCAAAAACAATGTAATTACCTTGTGAAAGAGAATCATACTAGACATTGTATGCCTCATATAAATATGCCACAGAATGATTTTAGACAAGCTAATAAATATAACTTTCCAGAACCAAACAAAAGCACTAAGGTGAAACATATGTCTCAGCATCTTTTAATTAATCCAGTATAATTGAGACTGAGGTAAACAATTACATAGCTCAAAGATAACTGAGTTTTTTTTCTGATGTTACTTATTATATTTTCCAGCTGATGCCTTAACCTCTGTATTGACAAAAATTAACCGAATAGATATTGTGACCCTGTTGGAAGGACCAATATTTGATTATGGAAACATTTCAGGCACCAGAAGTTTTGCAGATGAAAATAACGTTTTTCATGATCCCGTTGATGGTAATTGAATTATGTGCACATATTTATTTCAGTAATATGTCCAATAATACAGAAAAATATTATAAACAGACCTTTTCTCAAAAGACAGTAAATTGTGAAGGACTAATTAATTTCTTTTCATTTTAAAGTTTTTTTTTTTCTCTCTTCAAAATCACAATTATGGTACTTAGAATTGCTTTGTTTTTTAAAAGTTCATAAATGCAATATGAAATGCAAAACTCTAATACACATTTGTATAGTATTTTCAACTTTCATTTTATGTCAGCTTGTGTCTCAAAAGGTAAGGGTCCAATCCTGAAAATATACACATGAAAAAAGTTGTTCCCACTAATTTCAATGTAGATTGATCAGGCACTTCAGTGTTTTTCAATTTCAATTGTCAAATGAAAAATCATACACTTAGACAGTTGCTCATGCATTAAAAATTATTTGTAATGTAGATGGTGGTATACTGTCCCCCACACACTACCAGGAGAAAAGGTATCTGTCAGTCTCATCTCCATAAATTAGGCATTAGGAAATCTTCTCCTAAAAATAAATGAGTGGTTAGTAATGGCATGTACACTAAAATAATTTGCAATTTACTGATATGCAGCTTTGAGAAAAATGAATTTATTCATAATTTATACTTGAGGACTTTCAGAAATTAAACCTTCATTTTCCATATATAAAATGGCAATATAAAATTTTTTCATGAGAAAATATCAATTTTACATAAGTGGAAACTTGTAATAGTTTTCACCCTACAACTATACAAGATAATTATAGAGTAATTTGGGTTAATTTTGAGCCAGATATTGAAAGTCAAGAATTGCAGGACAAATGGTGTTCTGATTATACAACAGAATAGCAATAAGCAAATGTATACTTTGTATTTGTCCTGTGGAGCCACTAATTACTGCTATTTCTTTTTTGAAATTACCTTTAAGATACACTGGTGGCACTGGTCACCTAATCTCTGATTTAAAACCCTGTCAATCTTAAAATCTTATATACAATTCAAGTCTTATGTACAAAACATCCTCTTTTGTATATATTTTCTTCAAATGTGTATTGGTCTTAATCTTCTTCCTGCATTACACTGGGATTTTCTGATCATTAGACTATATAAGTTTAATGTGCTCCATTATTCAGCAGCAGCTTTGTTCATTGAATCATTGCATTGCAGGAATAATTTTCTGTTTACATTTTAAGAAAATTCCTCTTGAAATGTTGCTTGTGCCTTTTAATCGTAGCAGCAGTGTTTTTATAAAGAAAATGTGCTTCTCCACAGTTACTTTCTGTCTCTCCTCTTCTCTTCTCCTCACCTTCCTCAAATTTCCTTTCCTCACCAAGACCAGACCGCTCTTTACCTTTCTCTCAGCTGATACAGAAAAAATCCTGTTGATACACCTCCCTCAACAGGCACCACAATGTGAACTTAACCCCCAAACATGTCTTCCTTTCCTAGGATATTCAGCCTAATATTTGTTTACTGGAGTGTAAATTTACATTTCATTGTCATTCATTTGTGTGTATTCAGTCTAATCCTTGAGAATGATTTTCCCATGTCTTCATTACTTATCTTTTCTTTTCTCTCTTTATTTGATCAGTGTTTCTGATTGTACCCATGTCACCAAGATCTCCTCAGTCTCCAAGATCACCAAGATCTCCTTACTCACTACAATCCTCTCATCTATATAACTTTACTGTACCAGAAATTTTTATATAGATTCTTCCCCTGTTGTGTTTGTGATCTGTAATCCTTTTCCTGACACCTTTTTTTTTTAGATTTTATTCTGCTGTATTTTAAGATCTACTCTTCTTTCTTAGCCACACTGAGATTCATTTCTATTCTTTGTTCCTTAACAATTATATTCTTGTGGCACAGTGATTAAATTGGAGTATACTAGTGCACAGTATTGTAAGTATTGTGTAATTTTTAAAACTAGGATATTAAAAATGTGGACCTGTTTTAGACATAGATATCTGCAACAACAACAAAAATACCCCTACCCACACACACACAACACACAACACAACCTGGCTGTCCAGCATTATGAGCAGATTCTTCCTTTAGATTATATTCATTAAGTTTGCATGAACCAAAACAAAGAGAGCGAGAGTTACATAATTTGGCCACAAAATACCATGTTAGATATAAAGGACCACCAACTCTATCCATATTGATTCCATTTGTTTGCTCATGCGTCAGTGTGCTGTAGCTATAAAAATGTTAAAGTGGCTGCAAAACCATTCATTAGAACCTTTACAGAGTGTTGATTTCTGAAGAAGCAAAAGCAGTAGCTGCCACCATTTTAGCAACTAGCCATTTTCGCTACTCTAATTTGTGTTGCATCCATTTAGGGTAAACCAATAAATCTGGCAAATTTACATTCACACTTAAATGGCTACATCATCTCATTTTAATATTTTCATATTTTCTATAATTCATCAATCATTTTACATGTTTACTTATGTATTGCTCCATACTTCATTGCAGTCAGTCCAAATGTACTGTCTTCCTTAGGTTATCCCACCATTCAAGTGGAACTGGAAACTCCCACTGGGTTGCGCTTCGTGCCACCCACCCCTTTCCATCAAGATGATTTCTTTAGTGATATCTCTAGTATAGAGTCACCCCTTAGAACTCCTAGTAGACTGAGTGATGTGTTAGTGACTTCACAGGGAAATATAGACGGTACAGCATCAGGACCTCCAGTGGTGATTGAAGAAGACACTTCACTGGAAGACAACAAACCTGATTTCTCAGTACCTAAAGAAAGAACACCTAAAGATATGTCTGTAGGCCAGAGCCATTTGGAGGAAGTGGACCTGAATGATTATCCTCGGTATCTTGGTAGTTATGGTGGGATATCAAAAGATGCTAAGTACTCAAAACAAATACAGAGTGAAGAGACTAGTCAAACAGGAGTGAGAACTGAACAGCATGAGAGAGAAAAGTCTGGTACTGATGAGGAGATGACAGAAGAAAAGCTTAAATCTCTGTTTGAGGACATTCATCTTGAAGAAGGAGTTGAGTCTGAGGAGATGACGGAAGAAAAAGTGTGGTCTATTCTTAAAGATGTTCAGCAAGCAGAACAGGAAATGTCTTCAATTACAGGTTGGCAGAGTGAGGCATCAAGTGTCCACATTGAACCACCAACACCTGGGCGCAGAATAAGTGGTGAACTACTAGATCGGCTAGATGATAGGTAAGGATCTGGAATATAGATATTTGTCTCCAAATAAATCATTTTCAATTTTATTTTCACCTCCAGATGTTAGATTTCTAAAAAAAGCCTTCTGAAGTTAGTCAAGTTCATAGCTTGGTTTTAATGTATGTGCATTTCTCACACAAGTCTGGAACACTATCAACAAGGTCCAAGAAAATATATATAATTTTAAATACCTATCATCATTTGGGTCAGATAATTATGCTTTATCTTCTGTTAGATGTAGATTACGTTTTCTATAAAGGTCTGATCCAAAGCCCATTAAAGCCAGTGGAAACACTCCAAAAGTCATTTAGGTCAACTGATCAAGCCCTTAATAAATATCTTGCAACTATGCTTCTCTCCCACTGACAGGTTTAGAATTAGAATAACTTAAAAAACCATTTCTGACAACTAAATATCTAAAGCCAACATTTAAATAATTTGTAAAATATAATAGGTGTCTTAAAGGATGGCATATAACAGGCTTAAGCATCCTCACAGCAAGCAAGAATTTTACTAGTTGCTTAAATGACAGTGCAAATAAAAAGTTAAAAATCAATATTCACTAAACTATGCTGTTTAAGAATAGACGGTCTTTTAAATGCTATGTCTATGTCACAACAATACTGAAAAAAGTAATTAACAGAGGTTAGATCTATGTTGGAGCTGGAGGTGTAATTCCCAGTTTGGGTAGACATACTTGTGCTAGCACGGATCAAGCTAGCATGCTAAAAATGTCCATTTGGCATGGTAACACGAGTAGGCATGGTAACACAGGATAGGTTAACCACCCTAGTATGTACCTATGTTTCAGACAGGATCATACTCGTCTGGTTAGCCCACTGCACTGCTATTTTAACACACTGGTTGATCACAGCTAACAAAGGAATGTTTACCCACATTAGAAATTATACTTCCAGCTCCAGTGTAGACATACTGTAAGTATGGTTAGCTTATTGTTTATTTATTCATGCCCCCTACCCAGTGTTCCCTTCCACATCCACAAATGAATTGGTGTCTGTGCCTTGCTCTTGTGGGTTCTCGTCTACAACCCAATTAAGCCAGAAGTAAGTTGTGCTGCTTTCCGCTCCATAATGTGGAACTAGGACCAACGGTGTTAGTATCCTGGGGTAGCTGTACAAAGGAAAGAAGCCTCTACACGGATGTCTCCTACCTGCTTCAGATCTCCAAAAACAGGCAGATTTTGAGGAATGGGAGGGCAACCCGCCTGCTATTTATGCAGAAATACCGTAGAAGAAAACACCACATTCATGGCATTTCCACTCCCATACAGAGAGACTCAAGCACAAATAATAATCAAGCCTGCAATAATATACTTCAGAATACAATCCCAGTAAAATGTATTCATTCTACCATGTGCATGAACTACTCTAGTACTTAGATGATCATCTGTAGTTCATTTTCTGAACAAAAGTGTAAAGCTCACTGGCAATCATGCAACAAGTGCACTTTTTGGAGTCTCCCTTCAACCAGTCTTCACTTCCCGTTTGTCATTTTCTTTGCTGCATTGTCATAATTTATAGGAACATAGCTATGCTGCATCCCTTTTTAAACAATTCTTCACAAGAAATCTGAGAGCTCTTTGGGACAGGGACAGCTCTTACCACATTGTGGATACTACCAGAATACAAATAAATATAATAACAATAATTAATAACAACAGTAATAAGTAGATTTGACCCTTAAGAGTCTCTGAAATAATATATCAGGATTGGTAGTTAATGTGTCTGTTTCAGAGCTAGGTGTTTCCAGTGTCGTTGATGATATTTCTTTTCCATTTTTTAAAAGTAAATGTATTTTTATTTAAAATCATTTAAACAGATTTATGCAGAAGCAAAATATGAACTATGGACAAACAATAAATAAACACTTTATAAAAGCAGAGTCCTGCACTGCTCCACTTCCATTCCCACACCACTCCCTAAATCTCTGTTCCTCTTGCTTGTATATCTTTGTTTTTCCACAAGTAAGGGGTTAATTTTTGCCATATCCCAAATTCTTCAGGATTGTAATGAATCTTATAAATAAGATGCTTATATGAAATAACTTCTGTCACATCAGCCTACCACACCTTTTTAAAAATGGGGCAGAAGAGATTGTCTTCTTTCCAAGGATGAATTGCTTTGCAGAACCAAGGGCATTCATAGTCTATTTCTTGAAAGACTTTGTAGTCCCATGCCTGATATTTCATATGTGGTGGTGAGGTGTAAGGAGCTACTGTAGCTGTTGCCCATTGTATCTACCAAGTCTCTCAACTTGATATTTAGGCTGGATCCTTCGTTCTTAATTTGCACCTTTCAAGAGTGATATCAATTTAAGGGGCAAAATCCACAGCTGGTATAAATCAGCAGAGCTCCACCAATTTACACACCTGAGGATCTGGCTTAAAACATTTTGAGATACTTATTAAGAGCTAGATCCTCTCTCATTAAATTCATTGGGAGTTTTGCCATTGACTTTAGTGGATGCAGGATTTAAGTGATAAGAAATTCAATAATACAATGTGAACGATCTAATATTGGTATGATTTATCCAGAAATAAATTGGATTAATTGAGAAATATACCTAGTTCAGGAGATACTGTACCTGATTAAATAAATTACAGACAGAATACTTAAATGTGTAATTATGTCTTGTTAGCAGGATGTTTATTCTGTTCCTTTAGCAACTTGATACAGTTTATTTACCAACTTTGTAGTTTTCTCAGAAAAGAGCTAATTATTTGAGCATCAGTGATGTATTGAAAAAAGAAAAGGAGTACTTGTGGCACCTTAGAGACTAACCAATTTATTTGAGCATAAGCTTTCGTGAGCTGCAGCTCACTTCATCGGATGCATACTGTGGAAACTGCAGAAGACATTATATACACAGAGACCATGAAACAATACCTCCTCCCATCCCACTCTCCTGCTGGTAATAGCTTATCTAAAGTGATCACTCTCCTTACAATGTGTATGATAATCAAGGTGGGCCATTTCCAGCACAAATCCAGGTAAATGGCCCACCTTGATTTTCATACACATTGTAAGGAGAGTGGTCACTTTGGATAAGCTATTACCAGCAGGAGAGTGAGTTTGTGTGTGTGGTTTTTGGAGTGGGGTGGGGGGTGAGAAAACCTGGATTTGTGCTGGAAATGGCCCACCTTGGTTATCATACACATTGTAAAGAGAGTGGTCACTTTGGATGGCTATTACCAGCAGGAGAGTGAGTTTGTGTGTGGGGGGGGGGCGGAGGGTGAGAAAACCTGGATTTGTGCTGGAAATGGCCCAACTTGATTATCATACACATTGTAAGGAGAGTGATCACTTTAGATAAGCTATTACCAGCAGGAGAGTGGGATGGGAGGAGGTATTGTTTCATGGTCTCTGTGTATATAATGTCTTCTGCAATTTCCACAGTATGCATCCGATGAAGTGAGCTGCAGCTCACGAAAGCTTATGCTCAAATAAATTGGTTAGTCTCTAAGGTGCCACAAGTACTCCTTTTCTTTTTGCAAATACAGACTAACACGGCTGTTACTCTGAAACAAGTGATATATTGAGGTATACGGCCAAATTCAGGCAGAAACTTCAGGGTAGTAAGTAGCAATCAACCAATAGTGTCAGGTGAGTATATATCTCATATATTCATAAGGCCACGTGGACCTCATTTATTCCTCTTCCCCTTCCACCCCCCCAACTGGAAAGGGCTCAGAATAAAAACATGTGGCCTGATTTTCAGTGTTCAATAGGAACTATAAATTCTCAATGCCTTTGCAAGTGAGACCACTCAGGCAGAAACTACTGTACCCAATACAGGAATATTAAATAGCTTGACGTTCACATACTAAATTTAAATCTTAGCTTCTTTTTTTAAAAAGTACAAACTGAGAATATAGGCATCTTACCAGCAAGCTAATTGTTTGGCATTTCTGAAAGCGGTTTGAACATTGTGTGATTGTTTGTTCTTTATCTTTTGTAGCCCTGACCAATGTAGGGATTCTATTACCTCATACCTGAAAGGAGAAACTGGGAAAGTTGAAGCCAATGGAAGCCGCACAGAAACTACAACAGAAGTAAAGACTAAATCTTATGTTCAAGAGTCTATAAACAAAGTGGGAAAACAGAGTGACAAGGAAACTCTGAAACCAAAAACACGAAGTTCTGTCCATACTGAAGAGCAAACATTATTAACAGCATATCAGAAATCTTTAGAAGAGACCAGCAAGCCAACAGTAGAAGAGCCTAAAACCTCTGTGCCTGTCAGCATGAAGAAGATGAGCTGGAAAACTCCTGAAGATAGCAAGCCAAGAGCAAACATCCAGGAAGAGGCAGGAGCAGCAACGTCTGAACAAAAGGTATGTCCTGCAATTATTAATCTTCTAGTTGAATACGCATTAATCGACACAAAGTTTTGTAAACTTATAGTGAAATTTGTTTTGTTAACTCATTTTTCTCCCTTTTAACACCAATTTGGTATGATTAATTTACTAAATTACAATAATGGAAATTAATGGTTCAACCACTGAGTTTTGACATATAAGTGGCAAGGTGAAATAGTGTTGGGGCATCAAGGAGCAATTATGGCTTCCTAATTCTCTGCCTGGTTCCCAGCCTTGCCGCCTTGGCTGCTCTAAGCTGCATCAGGAAGCAACAGTTGCAATGGACTATGTCTCCTTCCCACCTCTGACATGCCTGCTGTGCTGGTAGCTGTGTCAAGGGTGGTGCCAGGAGTTAGCTTCCATGGTTCTGTTCCTACAAGAGAGATGCAGATGGTTTCCGTTCTTTGTGCCATTAAAACGAACAGAGCAGGGCAGAAAATCTTCCCCGCCTGTTTTTTCACTACATTCATTTTCAGGAAAATACTTTATCTATCTAGTGAAATTTAACTTAGTATTTGTGCTTTGTTCCCCTGACACACTCATCCATGCTGCAAATGCACAAGGCCAAGCTGTGTGGTCCTGCACTGGCCTACAGAAAATTACCAGTGTACAAAGCACTTCTCTAGGATAGGACATGCTCTTTCATCTAGTGATAGGTGTGGTCTACTGCCTCCCCTTCAGTTTTACATTGCATGTCCCTACTTTGCATGTCCCTAAATACTTATTGGGCCTCTGGGTGTTCCACCCACAGCATCCTTCCAGCCAGTTGTCTGCTCAAGATGGAATTTTAGTGCAACTCTCAACAGCTGATTTCCTTCCCGCAGCCTAATTAAGTTTGTTCAAATAATTGTTTACAGCACGACAGTTCTGTTCTGTGAAGCCAGACAGCTGGAAGGTTGCCATTGGATAAACAATAAGGCCACCAAGGAGCTAATGATCTATAAAATAGCTAAGAAAAATCTCAAGGCAGAGGTGTTGGAGTTTCTTCTATCTCCCTTTGTCCTCTATACAGGGACTCTATTTTACTGAGGGCAATAGATTAAGGAATTATAAATATTAAGTGATCCATGTAAATATATCTTGGAATTTGTTTGCAATGTAACTTTTTTATTTGTAGTATGTACTAAATTTTTTCATAACATGATACAGTAAATTAGTTGTAATTTAGTTCATTTTAAAGTGCTCCCTAGTTGTTTTACCCCGTGTCCCTTTATACCTGGTAACATTATCATTCTTAACATTTATGTACTGTACTGTTGTATTTCATTCTTATTTATTAGTCTGTTGACACATCTAAAGCTGTAAAGTCCTTTACAGGCATTAACTAATTAATTCTCTTAACACCCCTGTAAGGTAAAGACCTGATCCAAAGCTAGTTGAATCAATGATGTGATTCCTACTTACTTCAATGGACTTCGCATCAGAACTTATGAATGTAGTATTGTCCTCATTTTAAAAAAATGGGAATACTGAGGTAGGCAGCATAAGTGACTTAACCAAGGCCACAAATTGAATCACTGGCAGAATAGGCACCAGAATTCAGGAGTCTTGACTCCCAGATTCAGGTTTAGTAAACTAGACCCAAATGTCTCTCCTTATTTTTTAAAAATTTTAAACAAAAATAGTGTAAAAACCCTTCATTCTATTTGCATGTCCACCAGGTGGTTACCCAAGTGTCAGAAAACAGGCAGTTGGCCACTTTTTATTCTCAGGCTCTTCTCACTTTTGAAGATTCTATGCTGTAATGTGGGAAAAATAAATGTGTGCGTATTTTCAAAACTGCTTTCAGCACTTCTCTTGTAGCATCCAGTAGAGGGTGATATTTCTCTCTCTCTCTCTCTTCCTCCCCCAAATAACACGTAAGTCACCTTAATGACACAACCTTTGAATAAGCTGGATACTGCAGAGCTATGTGATTTCTGAGTCTCTGAAAGCCTGTAAGACTACCAAACAGTTTGCTAGAATTGACTAGTGACTTTACTATTATGGTACATCAGTGAAGGCATGGGTTCTTCTGGTTTTTCTAATTTCTTTGATCTGAATGATTTGTAATCAGTAGTTAGTTACTTGAGCAATCGGGTTCCAAGTGAGCTATCACATACACTCACTTGAAAAGACAGGGAGATTACCACTGTAATATATCTGGGAGGTATTCTTCAGAAGTGATCTGTAAAGGAAAAAAGAAATCATAGTCTGAGTGGGAAAATAGATGGACTTCAGGAAAAAATTACTGCACAATTTCAATTATTGCACAAAACATTTGTCATTGAGGATGGAAAAGGACATTAAGAAGGAGCCTGGAGTTGGCAGTGGGATATGGTCTTTCATCATTAGGCCACCGTTTCAAATTTTGGCCCAGAGTATTCATGGATGGAAATCAAACCATGACTGTTGGGTAACTGTTTGCTTGCCTGTGTGAAATGAGTTGGTGGCCTAGTTCCTAGTGAACGGGTTCCACATTACAGAAACCATCGCTACAGTTTCATTAACTCCCACCTTTATAGCTGGCCAAGATTCTTCAGAGAACCCTCCAAAACATGGTTTTGAGACATACTGGCATGGTGAGGGAATTCTCTTCTGCCGCTGCCCCAGCTGTACCATGTTCAAAGAATAGGTGCTGTGGCTGCACCTTTCACAAGCATCAGGTTCACATGAATTTTATCTTAAATAAAAAGGCTCAGAACTGTTAAACATTATTCCTGTTGGAGTGCTCTAACAGTGTCATGGCTGCTCCAAATGCAATGGTGGTAAAATTCCATCATAACTAAAAGAAGACACTTTAACCCCTTAATTAAAGGGGGCATTCTTTCTCCGACATCTTTGTGGTTTTGGGGAATCCATTTTTGTTTCCTATCACTTTTTATTATCGTAATTAAATTAATTTGATTTATTTATTTGGATAGCAGCAATAGTGTGGTTGGCACATTACAGATAGGTTTGCATTGTCTTGAGATGTTCAGCTGTTTGCATTTCTTTGCTTTGAATATTCCTTTTCTGTTTATCTCTCTCTCTCTCTCTCTCTCTCTCATGCTTGCTTTCTTTGCTTTCTAGATCATTTCTGAGAATACTCTTTGTTTGACATGCTGGGCTGGATAGACAAAAAGGAAGAGAGGTTTAATATATTTAGTTAGCAGAATTTTAATAAGTAATGGTGTTCCTTTTCTCTCTTGACTTTAGAGTCGTATTGAATAATTGTAGAGATAATTACCATATTTCTAGATTCATAAAAAATGTGGCTGATACCTGACCAAGTTTTCAGACTGGTCTCTACCCCTGCACTGTGCCTGTAGCATATGCACTCATTTTACTGCCACAGCCACCTGTATGCACACTAAAAAAAATTTCATGGTTTGTGGAAGTGCACACTTGAGTGTATGCAGAGAACAGGCAGTGTACGCATCCCAGTGTATGCAAAGAACAGGCACATGGCCACATGCTCAGATTTTTGTGATCACAAGTAGGCATTGGGGTCTGAATACTCATTTTACTGTACCAAGACAATGTCACAATTTGATCTTTCTAATTACTTCATTAGTTTTTTTAAATAAATACAGACTGTTTGTAATTAGCCCTGGAATTATTTGATACGATTTGAAATCAGATAAATTTTGAGTGGGAAAGCCATTTACTCAATAAAATTCTACAAGTGAAAAATACCGATGTATTATTTCCATGAATCTTGACTGGTGTTTACTGTTTAATCATTCAGGAGGTAACTGGCTTATTACGCTCATGGATCCTGTACAGTTTCATCCCTTTCTACCTACCCCCTCCCATTTCTAAGATTCCATTTCCTGTTTAGGGCCTTACCCAGTGCTCACAGAAGTCAGTGGAAAGATATCAGTGGGCATTGGTCATGTTCATAGTTCAGAAACCATTAACTGCTTTGTTTCCTCGGGCAGGAAATGGAACGATCTCTTACAGAACATTATGGACCAAGATTTCTAGCATTGGTTTTGTTCAAACTGCTAATTCTTGAGCATAATTTTGCAAAAAGTTGTAACTTGTGGTTTGTTTGTTTTTTCTCACATCCATATTTTGTAAAAGTTAGTATAATTTTAAGTAAGATGCTTAAGATTCATTTGTTCAAATGCATTTTAGGATCTCATTATTTGTCCTGTATTAAAAAAAAAAAGCTTTAAAAGCATTTAAGATACGTCATAGATGGAATATTTATCAAACTAAAGCACAGCAAAGAGCAAAAAAGACCCCACAATAAATTAATGTGCAAGATTGCAGACACCACATACATGGTACATATAGGATGAATTAAGATTTGTGATAATCTTTTCTTTCTCCTGGGTGTTCCTGCTCAGAATGTTTTGTCTTTTAAATGTGCTGTTAAAATATACTAAAACTGCCTTTATCAGGAATTTAGTGACAGTGACAGTGACATTGAGATTCAGAGTGAGTCGAGCTCAGATGAGGAACAGAGAATCACTACAAGAGTTTATCGCCGGCGTGTGATTCTGAAGGTATCCTGTGATTTTAGTTCTGGAGGTACCACTGGCATGGATTTGGTCTTGACTGCTGTGCTAATGTTCAGTGTTAGTCATATTAGACTCCCTCTTGTAATGTGCTTTCCATTTCTGGTATGTATTTACAATTAAAATATTAGGTAGTCTTTCTTTGCTTAATCTCCAGGCTTATGGTTGTCTTCTGGTGGGAAACAACCACACAGCGTTGCCTTTTTGTCTCTCTTAATGCCATTGTGTTCTGCATAGCATCATTAACACAGTCACTATATATAGTGAGATATAATGCTATATGGACATAGTTAGATATAATGAAACCTTCAGGGTTGATAACCACTTTCCAAGCATGTCTGGTATGGGACAGAATGTATGCACACAGGGCATGTATGATATATTTTGGTTTTTCTTAATTTTAATTGCATAAATCACAAGTAAAACACATTCTGTAACATTCCGTAAGGGTAGGATTTAGAAACATAAGACCTATTGATGTTCCATGGG